TCCTAAACCACTGAATTGATCAGCATCCAATAGTGTTAATGTCTAACCTTAACCAATCCTCGAAATTGCTCGACTATCTTCCATTCTGTGGAGATTTTAGAAATTTCACAGATTGAAATCATGAGTCAGTTGAAGCTAGACCACCATTGAAAACCTGGAAGCACTGGACGGCCGTTTCATCCTAGTATGGGTGCCGGCGCAGTGGTCTAGTGGTTAAGTGCTCGCGCGCGAAGCCAGTAGGTCCTGAGTTCGAGCCCCACGTGGTGCGGGATCGTGGATGCGCACTGCTGAGGAGTCCCATACCGGGACGAAACGGTCGTCCAGTGCTTTCAGGTTTTCAATGGTGGTCTAGCTTCAACTGACTCATTTCAATCTGTGAAATTTCTAAAATCTCCACAAAACCCATTCTGATATCTTCCATTCTATTGACGTAGATACCTGTCTCTACGCGACACGGACTAGCTTCACTGGTCACAGTTATGAATTCATTTGATCATATTCAGTAGTCAAATATACCAGTTAATAATTAATTAAATTCATAAGCATGTGATAATCAGGCTTACTGGGGGAACAAGTGAGTAAAGTGGGAGAATGTATGTGTATGTTATTCATTGAATACAATTCAACATATGTATAAAGTTATTGATTTTTTGTTGTTGTTTATAACCATACACTCAATCCAAAAATTGCCACATTCATGTCAATAGCAGGTCAACTATCTAAATAATAAGCTTTACTTGACCTTTCATTTAAGATAGGTCATACAAATGCAAACTTAATGGACACTTGCTACTAAAAGGGGTACCGAATGCATGTGCACCATACAAGTCACTTGATTTATATGTGGTCAGTAATACGACCCGGACACTCAGATCGAAGAAGATGGTTTTCTTAGGGGGGTAACATCCGGAACTTTCTATCTAAAGATCTGGTCCAAAAGGTAGTAGAGCTATGTCAAGAGATGTAGTCACATGATAGCCGGTCACAAATAATTGGTTCATACACCATTAGTTCCTTAAGGATACTGGAACCTATGTACACCAATAATTTGGAATAAGGGTTTTCCAAATCCCCTAGGTGTCCACCAACTCGGTTAAAGCAACGGACATTCACTTTTCGCCCTCACATTTTCGTAAACAACAACCCTGATGTGAGAAGGTAGTGAGTAGGAATTCCCTGACAGTGGTTGTATGCACCTGGCCATGTGAGAGCATTTCGAGAGGGAGAGCTGACTCTCCTCACCATTGATCGTACCTGGTGATTTGGGGGGGCTATTATAATCTACCTAAGATTATTTCATAATCAAATGGTAAAAACCGTTGATATTCACTGTCCATTAATCCGACAAATATGTAAATATAATCAGTGAATAAACTGAATTGATCATATTCATTACTGTTATGTCCCGACAAGGATAATGAATGGTAACTTTTGGGATCTATTGATGGACCAATATTAAACGTTTATTTCTATTGTATAATTATGAAGTAACTAAACTATGCATATTCAGGTTCCTCTTATCATAAGCTTTATTTTGACCCATAAACTATTATTATACGTTTTACCATTCTTGAGTTATACCCAGCATATCAATTACTACCTCCCTCATTCATAGTCACATCTAGCTAATTCTTGTTCAAATGTTAGTTCCTATTTTATTGGTACCTTGTGGTCTGTTTGATTGGTATATAAACTGAGTATGTTTGAAATATAAGGATTCATATTGCAGAGGCTGAGATTGGTGTTCTAGACTTAAAAGGCTGGGCTAGGCGGAAAGCAGGACCAATCAGGACTCTAGACTGCTCGTACGTGTTTTACGTGTCCTTGGTCCAATCGGTAATTCACTGCCCTCTATATTCGACGGTCACAAGTTATAACAATTACTCATCAGAAAAGTATTTTTATCCAACAAAAAGTTTCATGTAGAATAGTCATTTCACAATAATTAATTGAAAATGATTGATCTTCTATCAATCAATGAAAGCGAAGATCTAGGGTTCTACTCTGTCTGATGTATGACGTTAACGATACGTTTAAGTCAGTTTGTATGTTTTTTGTCTGCAATTGTTTCTGTGTATCTAACTAACTAAGTTATGTAGTATCTTACAAATTTAACGGAAAGTCTAGGGTTCGATTTTCTGTTTGAAGACGGTGATTCTACACTTTTTTTGAAGAGTCTTATACGAGGACGAAACAGCTATCAAGTGTTCTTAAGTTTTATTTTTTTAATGATAGTTTAGCTAAGATGAATCTATGAAAGTACTACAATCTTTACAACTCTGTCTACAGTGGTAAAACTAGAATTTATCGATTCATTGAAAGTTTCTTCAAACTATACTTTCACAGCAATAAGCCTAATTTGCACAATTTGGAATAAAATATGACTTTTATCTTTACCAACGGAAATTTGTCATTATTTCGAATGTGGAAAAATAACTCCTGACAGAGTACATATTCAATGAATATTATCAGATTGAGTTTACTGTAAATACAAGTTGATTTTAAGAATACAGGAGGGTAGAACTTACGTAATCCTAAAGCTTCATAATGCCTAACTACTAGCTATAGACAACTTCTGTACAAATGTGTTTCAAGTTAATTCCATAAAAAAAAACTCTTGGATTGATTGAGGTTAGACATTAACAGTGTTGGATACCAACCGACTCAATGGTCTAGAAGTTAATCGTTCGTGCCCAAGTTCGAAGGCTTTGAGTTTGAATCCCGCGATCTGGATTATCGACGCACACTGCTGAGGTGTCCCACAATAGAATAAAACGGCCATCCAATGCTTCCGAGTTCTCACTAACTCATTTATAATGTATGGATAAATAGTAATGCAACTTAAGAACGACCTGATTTCATCGAATGATGAATATTCGGATATGACGACTGAAACAAATACTATTTGGAATGTACTGTTTAATGAAAACCATTATGTGATTGTTTACATTAAAAAACCTTTTAGCAGAGATCATTGTCCAATAATGATTGAACACTATCAGTGAGATTCACAGTCTATTTATCCTTCATCATGATGCATCATTATACACTCAGCCAACCAAAGTATTAACTCTTATCTACCACCGAACCTAACCGTCATCAAACAAACTCAATATCCTTTACCAGTTTTATGTGAAGATTGACCAAACAACTTGATAATAGAATTGACCAACATTTCTAGTCCACATTAAAACGTTTTCAAACTGTTTGAAAAATTTACCTTAAACGCACTTCACTACAATTATATGAAGCACCAGACGGCCGTTTCGTCTTATTGTGGGACTCCTCGGCAATGCCTAGCCACGAATCCAGGACTTTCGGTCTCGCGCACAAACTCTTAACCTCTAGACTACCGAACCGGCATCCGTCGATCTTCATGTCTAAATTCAATCAGTCCACGAAATTGAGCGAAAATGTACTGAGGTAGATACCTGTCTCTATCTGACACGGGTTAGCTCCACTGGTCACAACTTCACACAAGAACTATGAGAATTCCCTCATGAAGCTAGTCACTAGTGAGTACATTGTAATTATAAGTATGGGGTCGTGGAGATTATTAAGATTTATATATATATATTGTTAGAGATTTATGGTATCTTAGTGTGGTCCTTCATTTTGATGTTAATTAGATCGGACGATGATGTTATCGATGGACGCGTCACATTTAGTGGTCGATGTACCTGACTCTAATTCGATTGTATGAATGATTGCTCTCGAACCATACACTCTATCAATGCTCGTATAAAACTATCGACTTCAATCACATTAGTGAATAACGGAATTCAATAAGTCAAATAGAATAATGGATTCATGAATGCGTATGTTTCATACAATCTTGGATCTGAACAGACAAACAGAGAAATGCAATAATGGAAGAGAAGAGAAGAGGATGAAACAAAATAACGCGCAATGGAGAGGATATGCAAGTCAAATCAATGCAACTAAGCGTTACCCAGTAGTTATAATCGAATATTTGATGATAAGCCCTGAGTTAGGGTACGTACTTCTAAGACGTCTCATAATAGGATGAAATGGCCATCCAATGCTTTCAGGTTTTCCATGGTGGTCTAGCTTCAATTGACTCATGATTAAGAAATGCACATACACACATACATTAACATAAAAACAGTCGTTGAAATCATGAATCAATTACAGCTAGACCACGATGGGAAACTTGGAAGCACTGGACGGCCGTTTCGTCCTAGTATGGGACTCCTCGGCAGTACGCATCTAAGATCCCGTCCACAACGGGACTCGAACCCAGGACCTGCTAGCTTCACGCCAAGCGCTTAACTAACTGGACCACTGAGCTGCCGTCCAATAGTGTTAATGTCTAACATTTCATCCAATCCACGAAGTTGCGCCAACGTACATCATTGTCTTCAGTGAGTTTCTATCTCATAACCCATTTTGATAAAGTAAATAATTAACAAAATCGAAATGGGATTACTAAAGAAGAATGAATGAATGAATGAATGAATGAATGAATACATTGTATTGTCCAATAACTAGAATAATCGATATTGACTTGAATAGAGCACTTAACATTATTGTAAACTATAATGTAATTTATTGATTAAATAACCAAAATTGTTCAGTCATTTGAAAGAAAAAAACAAATTTTGATACATGAACTATGCTGAGATGTACTCAACATATAATATAACACAACATCCTAGACCACCCCTTCTCACCCCTTCCACTATACTCTCATACATACATCGACATAGATCCTATAATATTGATTAATTCTAATCAATATATATATAGGCAAAATTATGAGTCTAAATCATTCAGGATATAAAGAAGATCTAGAACAAGAAGAAGAAGAAGAAGAAGGGAACTAATCAATCATTCGTTGAATCAAAAAACTTTATCCATCGTTGGCCTGCTTGAATATCTAGGCTATCTGTTTCTATCATCCAATTATTATTCATTCTATGATCTTTCATATTGAATAGAATCTATTAAATATTAATGTTTATATATTTTATTATGTAATGGATATAAGTAATTCATGTATTACAATTAGTCCATATCAAAGTACATCACATTCAGTTTGTTTAAATGATATTCCATTATCTACAAAACGTAAATATCCATCATTAAAGAATACATCAATTATTCTTCATAAAAATAAACAATATTTAAGTCCAAAATTAACTAAATCTAATTCTATTCTACGATCATTTCATCATCATCATTATCATCATCGTCAAGATCAAGATCAAGATCATGATTCATATGATCAATATGTACCGAATGCTCCAAGACCATCATTAAAATTGAATGAAGATAATATACTTTTTGTAAAGAAACAAGATTTATCCAAATTACAACGTCATTTATATGAAGAATCAATTCATACTCGATCACCATCATCGTCATCATCATCATCATCTTCATCATCCTCATCATCAGTTCATGATAATGATCTGTGTCAAATGAATCATGAACAAATTATACCAAAAGAAATTCATATTACAACATCAACCCCATTTATTAAATCAACTAAAGGATCATATTCTCATAAAGGATCCATCATCAATTCAGCATTAATTGGTGCACCTAGATTAGCTCTTAATGTTTCATTACAAAATAATAATAATACTACTACTAATAATAATAACAGTAATATAGAAGATTTAGATTTACCAAATATATCAAATACAAGTTTATCCTATGATCAAAGAAATAGTAACCATGGTGATAATGATCATGATCATAATCTTAATACTAATCATGATCTGAATGTTGATCATGAAAACGATCAAAATCAATTATCCAATATAATTAATAATCAATATATAATCACTAATAAAACTTATCATACATTAGATCATATAAATGATTCAAATAAAATGACATTTCGTTGTCGAATTTGTTTAGATGAAAGTCAAAATAATAATCATGAAAAAGAACAAGAAAAAGAAGAAGGATTATTATCACCATGTCGTTGTAAAGGTACCATTGGTTTAGTTCATAAAAAATGTTTACAAAAATGGTTATTAACCTCTGGTAAATTACAATGTGAATTATGTGGTTATATGTATTTAATGAAACCATCAAAACAATATTCATCTTTTTATTCTATAAAATGGAATCAATTTAAACAATATAATAATGAATTAAAACAATTTTGTCATTGGTTACAATGGCATAGAATAAGAAAATATTTAATAATTGATATTATATGTATGATATTACTGATACCAACTACTTATATTGGTGTTTATTTTTGTATTATTAGTGCTTTTAATTATGCTGAATATAATTCATTTACATGGCAAGTAATTAGTTTATGGGGATTAGCTGTAATTTTAATTTTACTTCTTACAATATGGATTATATTAGCTATTAAACATCATTTAAATCATTATCGTCATTATCAACATGATCAACAACAACAACAACAACAACAACAACAATTCACATGGACAGGAACCAATTCATTAAATCGATTACCTAGATATCGATTTTCGATACAACCTAGACCACGTGGATCCTCTGTGGTATTATATACTACGACATATCATAAAGATCAAGAATTATCGACAATGAATTCAAATGTAGAAAATGTAGAAATGAATTCATCATTTAATCATCAACATGATGAATTAACATGTTCAAATAAATATTCATCTAATGGGAATCAAAAGATTGTTGTTTCAGTGGAATTAACTACTGTACCTGAAGTTATAGAAGAATTATCTACATCTAATAATAAAGTATCTATTTGAGCTTATAGAAACAAACGAACAAAAAAACCATGTTTCATTGTTCAATAATATCGATTTGTTTGTTTGTTTTGTTTTAATTTTGTTTTCGAAGATAAACATTGTCAGTAATGATACTTACAGCTGGAATGTTTTCCTTCTTGAATATCGTTGAAGGAAGCGAGATTCTAAGGTAAACAGACAGTCGATAAACTTATTCAGTTAAATTAGAATGGGTGATGATTAGTAATGGTGGAATCCAAGATACACATCAAATGGATATAAATATATTTTAGAGTTGATGTTTATTACGGGACTCGAACTCAATATCGTTTGTATTAAACGTCATTATATTACCTACTTAGCTAGTGAGTCGAAAAACTCACTTTTTTGTGTAATAGGATGTATATCATGCCAAAAAGTGATTCATCGACTGCAGTCTTAAACATTAGTGAGAACATTCAAGCATTCCATCAACCTAAATTATCAGTTGCTCTAGTTGTTAGAATGGGCATCTGCCTCGTGATCTTCGTAGAGATTCGGCTTTCACCATGAAGCGTCATAACTTTTCCAAATGAAGAACTTCTAACTAAATGGTTTGAATTATTATTTTATGGTTAGCATGTTTTAGTTGGTTTTCTACGGCATGAAGTCACTAATTCCATGTCCGACCCTCCTCCTTTATCTGGGCTTGGGACGGACAGTAGGCCAAGAGGGGCTCCAGGTGGAGTTATACGTAAATATTGATTTTAATAACGTAACGGTACTTTGTTTTCGGATGTTTGAATCTTCTTATTGATGTTATGGACTATGATTGATTAGTCTCTTGATATATGTGTATTCTGTGTAGATTATCTCGATAATCCCATTCAGTAGGATCTGAAAAGTTGGAAAAATGAAAATTTCGCAAGTGCGATGAGAATGATCTTGGTGGTATCTTTTCATAGTATTCCGACAGCAGACAATGGATTTTAAAGGTTGTTCAAGCCCTAACGCTTCGGGCTGAGCTATTTCGTTTACTACCCTACATATGTGTGGTTTACTGTATAAGCTATATGGTCATGTAGAGCTGAAGTTCTTATATGAGACTGCAGGTTCACCATTGATACTGAGGATGGTTCAGTATGATTACTTTGGCAAGTTTTGCTAACTACCCATGTACAAAATTGGTTTGATGGTTAACCCATGTCATTCATACTGGTGGTTGCTTTTCATTGTTCTCAAGGGCCAATGTCATCGGGACATTGTAAGGCATGTCACCACTGCTAACATTATTGTGTTTGACGGTCGTATAAGAGGAATAGGTTAACTTTGGCCTGTTCGTGCTGTGCATAATTGATTCACGCGACCATTGATCGTAATAACTATACATGTGATGTCAATGCGTATGTGAATGTTGAGAATGGTGCACCAGGGTGCTTGGTACCTGTGTGGTTGCTCCACAATACTGAACTGTACTATTCAGATTTTAGCGTTAAAGCTTATATGGTGTCTGCTTCTCCTATGAAGCGAGATTGAGACGTACCGTTTGGGTTATAAACTTTAAGCCTGAGTAGTTTCTGGCTCTCTGGAAAGTGAGATTAAGCTGTACTACTCAGGTTAAGCCTGATCGGTGTCTGGTTCTCCTGTTAAACGAGATTGAGATGTACTATTTGGGTTGTCACATGAAAGTTTGCATGGTGTCCGGTTCTTCAAAAAAGCAATGTAAAATTACCCTGGCCCACAACAGTATGTTATATAACTGTGTGAATAACTGTAAATCCCGTTCAGTAATATGCGTCTAAAAAGAAAATAGAGTTGAATAGTCGTTAACGGTGGAATCCATATGCAATGGTATAAGAATAATCTAATTTATATATCATCATCGATGAGAATAGTCTTGAAAGGTATCATGATCACATGTTCCTATCGCACTTTATTGAATAGATACTGTTCTTTTCTTTTTTTTCTAGAAATCGATTTTAACATAACCACTTCACTTATCTTGGAAATCTCATTAGCCTATATGGTCTGGTGTGTGACGAAATCTCAGCACGGACAGAGAAGGCTCGACTAGCTTGCTTTTACCAACTTGCGTCATTTATGGCGTAGGCGAAATATCCGTCTATCAACCAAAGGACGTGTTTACTGTGAGGCAGTTCGTTCCGTCCTACTTTATGGCAGTGAAACATGGCCGGTAAGAGTAGAGGATATTCGTAGGTTACTAGTATTTGATCATAGGTGTCTTCGAAATATTGCTCGTATATCCTGGGACCATCGAGTAAGTAATACAGTTGTTAGGAAACGGGTACTAGGTAAGGATGACAAATCGATTGATGTAGTGGTGAAACTTCATCAGTTGAGATGACTGGGACACGTGTTACGTATGCCCAACCACCGACTGCCCCGATGAGCTATTTTTTTTTGTATAGGAGTAGATTGGAAGAAAACTAGGGGAGGCCAGACCAAAACATGGCACAAGTCCATGAAGTTACTGACAAGTAGACTGAGTCATATCGGTAGGTGTAGACTACCTGGTTGGGGACCGCGAGATGATAGCAACCGATGGTTAGAGACCCTGAATGACATGGCTCAAAATCGTTTGCAAGGGCGCAAGGGCATCCACTCTTTGTATTCTCCCAAATTCTAATCTTCCGAACTCTTCATGTCCCTGTTTCCTTTGATTTTACTCCTTGAATAACATCTTCAAACCCTAATTTTTCTGATTACAGCTTATAATTTTACTACATCTAGCACTACGGGATTTGAATCGACAATTGCATCTCTGTGCCAATGTGGCGTGGCAACTCGAACTGATGTACGTAGGTACAAAGTTCTACGTTGTTACTGACTGACTGACAACTATGGTATTTATAATATGTTACTTGCTTACTGACTGATGTATGAGTCCAGATGATAATGATTGGTTGGTTGCTGAACCAGATTTACAAATAGTCTGACAGGCACTAGATGAGTTACATATTCTCTTATCCATATCAGCATTATTGTTTGCTGATGGATTGTGTCGATCTTTTGGTGTGGAAATATATTTACATTCTAGTAGGGATAATCACGTGTTCCTGATCTGAGTTGTGTTGAAATCCTGTAGAGTAGATACTTAGAGGGAATCTAGTGTATATATTCGTTTAAAGCAGATTAACGTCCTATTCATGTAGACGAGAAAACTCTGACTTTTAACAATTATGTCTAATACTCTACCTAATCTGTTAGAAAATATAAAGAGTAGTACATACTTTCAAGGATCGAAATTAGGTTACGCAATAACAACAACATGTATGCATGTGAAAAATTAGATATTTGAATCATGATATAACGACAGCTGAACTCTACGCTTTCTCATACATAACTCAGATAACATGACTAAGGTAATAAGAATCATCTGTCAGTCAGCAACAAAATAGGACCAGTAACATATATGCGTCAGTTCATGTTGCCATACCTCATTAGCACAACAAGATCAATATCGAATTCATAGAAGTAGTTAATTCAATGATGGTGATATATATAAGAAAGATTGTGTATAAGGATATAGCAAAGGAAGAAGGAATTAGTTCGTAGAAAGAATGATTTGAAGCGATTTTAATCTCATAGTTTAAGGGAAGACAAAGATTGTATAGATCGACGCCATTGTCATAGATTCTGAGCCATGTCATCCAGAATCCTCAACCAAGTAGTCTTCATCTATCAACATTGTTCACACTAGAAGTTAGTGACTTCAATGACTGATGCCACATTTTAATTTGGCGGCCCCTAAATTTCTTCAAACCATCGCAAACACTACTCAGCATTCGCGTCATGGTAGTCGGAGTTCAAGTATACTTAACACGTGGTCAAACCATCTTAGTAGATGAATATTCACAACTTCATCAACAGATTTACCATCACATTCCCTAATATTCTGTATCTGTCTATCCTGAGACAGAAGGTAAATCGGATATATTTCACATCATTGAAACTGTTTTTTCTTCTCTCAATGTTTACCTTTACTAATATGCCCACATTTTGATGATCTCTCTTATGCTCTCACCCTTATCAGTGTGATCCACGTAAGAAGATAAGTCACATAAATTAAAATAATGATAGAACCAGTGATTGTATGAAAGAATAAACATCCAAGAATAGAATTAGAAAAAATGATGTATATGAAGGAATAGTGGAATTCAATAGGCATCAGGTAAAGAGTGAACTAAATCTGCACCAATGAGATAAATTTGAACTTACACAGATCGATATCTCCGATTACTAATCTCGCGAACTCCTAGCAGGTAGTACAAACACGACTATGTTTAATAGTTAATAATTTCATGAACTGACCAGCGTTTACTGTTAATTAAATAGTATTGCTTAATAATCAGTGAATATGTACAAGTAGTCAGAGTGTCTCTGAATATGGCCATGTAGTGGCTGTATTTCGTTAACCAATCGCTCTCGTGACCGTTACCAAATAGTCCTCAACGGTGTTTGAAATCAGAAGGCAAACAGAAGCAGCGACTACAGTTTTATTAGCAGATAACTCAGACTACAAAGTAGTGAGGCGACTGCGTGAGTCAGCGAATCGAAAGTGTGAAGTGTGTAGAATGTAAATGTACATGTATCTTTATACGGAAATGAATGGATCATCGAACTATTTAAGCAGGTAATAATAAAACTATCAGAATGGATATATGCATAGGCTGTAAGCAAACGTTCAAGCATACACATTTCATACAAGCACAACAATAATAAAGGTACAATAAGTTGATATGGTACGGATGACTTTGTCCGCTAAATAAGTTAACAAAAGGTCTTGACCGAGTTAAATGAGAGCAAACTCAATTGTACGTGAGTTGCTATGGCCACTACCGTTAATACACTGAACAATCAAGCTGATCACTGTAATTCATTCGTATGCTTATACATTCATGATACATTCCCGATCGACACATACCGCTTTTTCTGCTGAGAATTCTATATTGTACCAAAATATATTATTGAATAAAGCCATTACTAAAAATAATAATAATAACACTACCAAAACGTTTTGGTAAACGAAAGAAATATATCCACGATCCCAACTCCTGAGATCCGAACATAGGTCACGCGCGTGAACGCCGAACCTCCAACTTCAACTAATCCACGAATTTGCTCTATCATCGACCATTATCTTCAGTCGGTTATTATCTCACGACAGACCCGATTGAACTTCACTGGCCACTGCTTTTCAGAAGAACTCCAGGTTCTGGATGGTGTGTGCTACTGATATCGATATTTATACATAGGTAGTGTATAACATCGATCGAATGTGAAATATCTGGCGTCAGAAGGTTACAAAGATCGAAAAGAAATGGACGAGGACAAAGAATGATTGATGAGGAAACAAAGAAACAATGAAGTCTGAAACAATTGATTGACATTTTCCAAACGAAGTATTCACTATATGATTCTCAGATTTTACTAAAATGTTACGAAATTTATATTCGATAGAACCCTGCTTATGTATCTCGTTCACTGCAATAGTTGTTATGACATATACTAGCTATTAGATGGTGGTTGGAGGTAGTCTACAGGAAACCCTGGACCGAGGTTTCGCGCTACTTGGCACTCGTTAGCAAGGTGTACCTGTAATCTTGGGGGAACTGGTGCTCTCTGGAGGATTCAATCCCGTGTCACCCAGCTTCACAGCCAGAGACGTTACCACTGGGCTATCTGAGCCGCGACCGACCTCCTGTAAGACTGAGATGTAATCACAATTGATTGAGTGTCTAGTCCTTATTAGTGCAGATGGAACGCTATCGACCATGTTGCAATGTGGCCACCAGCCTAGGTGACTCGATACTGCGTGCACTATTGTGAGATTAGATAGTGGTTGAAGGTTGTCGACAAGAAACCATGGGCTGGTGGTCATATTGCATCATGGTCGATAGCGTTCTATCTGCACTAATAAGGACTAGACACGCAATCAATTGTGATATACTAGCTATGTTTAATGTTGATAACAGTTTATTAGTTACCAATACATGAACTAAGAGAATACAAGTACAGAAACTGATGTATTTGAAAAACAATTCGGCAACTATACGAAACTCTCAAAACTTATTATATGGGTTGACAGAATGCAATTATAATAATAAATACAATAAATGTTATAAGTATGTAGCGTGGCGTCGAGTCGCGGTTGACTATGATCACTACTACAGGAAGACTGCGTGCCAGTTAACCAATAACATCCCCGTGAGCCAAATATCAGAAGGCAGTTAATGCCTGTAGTCGAGATGCATTTGTTGGCGATCTCGTGGTATCGAAAGAATACCGAGATTGTGTGGTTACTGAGCGTAACCGATTTGGTGAAAGGTCACAATCAACGGAAGGAATAATGTATATATTTTGGTACAGATAAACAAACAAGTACAGTAAAACAATCACTGGTACAATTGATTATAATTATAATTGTTTCCATCAAACCAAACGCGTTCTCTTGGTAAAAGTAGGTCACTACAAGTATATGTAATTATTTCACAATACATATATAGATGGTTATGAATAGAAATGCCTACTCATTGTTAATAAGTAATATAAAAGCAAGTACAAAACGTTAGTTGATTTGAAGTGAATAACATGTGAACAAAACACCATACAATAGTCACTATAATCATTAGTCATCCATCTCATTTGTTTGATCTGTTTTTATCTACCATAAGATTGTTAAGCATAGAAATGCCTACTAATTATTAATAAGTAGTAGTATAAAAGCAAGTTGATTTGAACAGGATAAACATCATTTCATTTGATCCATATAATCATAAAGTAAATCATGATTAATCTAATCAGTCTATTCTTTGTATACAATAAAACAACTGACTGATATATGATACGATGTATTTGTTTGATTCACATAGAATGATCGATCATAATTCATATCCCATAATACACGATTAGTGAATCCAGCCATTTGTTTACAATTTTGCATGACTAAACAAAATACTAAATAACGATATCTGAAAAGAAATTTTAAAGAAAAAAAAGGGATCTGTAAGGTAACAGAAGAGGTCCTTGTGGATATTATAGTGTATTATAGATTGATAAGTTCTGAGTTCGAATCTCGTGAGGTGGGATCGTCGATGCGCACTGTTGAGGAGTCGTACAATAGGACGAAATGGTCATTCAGTACTTTCAGGTTTTCCATGGTGATGTAGCTTCAATTGAAAGAGGATGTCAACTGTTAAAATATCCACAAAAATCAATTCTGATATTAAGCGACCTATGCTCACTAGTGACTGGATTCGAAAGGTATTTCATGGAATTCTAGTGAGAAGCAGTGACCAGTGGAGTTCAATCGGGTCTGTTGTGAGATAATAACTCATTGAAGATAATGGTGGATGTTTCGCTTAATTTTGTGGATTAGTTGAAGTTAGCGACTCATAGCGTTGGATGATAACCGATATATTGGTCTACAGGTTAAGCGTTCACGCGCGAGACTGATAGGTTCTGGGTTCGAATTTCATGAGGTGGGATCGTGGTTACGCACTGTTGAGGAGTCTCACAATAGGACGAAACAGTCCTCCACTGCTTCCAGGTTTTCCATGTTGGTCTAGCTTCAATCGACTCATGATCTCAACTATTGAAAGAAAATTAACCATTTTACAATTGTTCATGTGCAAACGATCCATGGATGAACTTGAGAAAACTTTAAGAAGCTTAGATAGAGCTGAAGATATTCCATACAGTCATTTTTTGAAAGAATGTTTCAGGATCTGTACGTGTAGCTTCTCTATTAGATAAATGCCAAGAACAATTGTATGTGAATTCGATAACTATAATGATGATTTCGCTTTTACTATGAACTATCGTATTCCTTTTCAGCCATATACTGTCTTTTCATTCGCAACTTGAAGGTTTCTAGCAAACGAATACTTAAGTTATATGCAGTGTATCAAGAATTTAAGCTCTAGATATAAATGGCAACGGAGATGGGATTCGGACCTACGAGGGGGGGAGAACCACAATGGTTAAGTAAGTGACCATTCTGCATAAAATATCATTCAATAGCTAACAGTTTTGTGACCAGTTGTCAGTTCGATCAATTCATTCTATTCTTTGAGACTATTTTTATATTTAGCTCGTCCGTAAACACATTGCATTTGTGAGTCGATTAAAGCTGGAGCAACATGGAAAATCTGGAAGCACTGAACGGTCGTTTCGTCTTAGTATAGGACTCCTCAGCAGTGTGCATCCACGATCCCACTTTCGAGACTCGAACCTTCAGTCTATGTGGGCGAACACTAAACCACTAGGTCACTGAGCCTACACTCAATATAACGTCTAATTTCAATCAATCCACGATATTGCAACACCATTGTCATCAGTGAATCACTGCCTCACACAGACCCACTTGAACTCCACTAATCACGCCTTCTCACTACAACTCCAGGAAATACCTCATGAAGCCAATCACTAGTGAGCAAATGATGATTATTATCAGAATGGGTTTTTTGAGGATATTGTAGTAATTTTTAGTAGTTAGTTTTCCAATTCTACAATTGAAAATGTATGCTAAAGAAAAAACAATTTTCAAAAACCGAGAAGACTTCCTTAAGAAGTTATTGATTCTAAGATCTCGATGGAGTTTTGTTCGCTGAGCTGGATGGTTTGGTCATGAACGTTTCATCGTTCATCATCAACACAAACTTCAAGTAAAAGTAAAGTGTTCGAATTTCTCCATATATGATTCACAACTTCTCATGTAGATCTCGTTGTTCTTGTTGACCTTAAACCTGTTATTGCTTACTTCTTTGTTTTGGTTGTATCTTCCATTGGTTTCACCATACCATCCAGATCAGAGAACAAAACTCCATCTTAAATCAACCATCTGAGCTACAAATCTTCTCCACTATCTCAAGATTCTAAGATCAAATCAGAACAATGTAATCACTGTCCCCGCATAACATAAACCACTAACTACACATTGTATTGTTTGGTTTGTATCTTCCCATTGAGGTTTAGTACTGTAATTAATCAGTCTGTTATTAGTATATGTGCATATTGTGCGTATGCCTCGATATTACCTTAATTCATAAGCTATTTGTAAGCAATGATGGATAGTGGCTAGCAGTGGAATGCAGTTTGACGCGCGTTTCGTCCAATTTAGGACTCGTCAGCTGGATGTAAAACTAAAACTACACAGTTGTAGAGAATAACCAAAGCTTCACTTTAGAATAGATAGATAAACTATCTGTCATGGTTTTATGTAATATCTACCAAGAACGATTTCATCAAGTGAAGGCGTTTATTGATGATATTCAATTTTCCGATCATGATATCATTGATATATTGTTCAAAAGTAATTGACATAAATGAAGACAATCATATTATCATGAATAAAGTAAAGATTATCATCAAAACTGACCGTTCTTCTCCATGTGCTTTAAGCATTGCTTTAATTTCATTTGCCAATGATATACATAATCGATTAGCTTTAAAACGTTCATAAGTTGGTGGAAGTGTTTCAATACGTGATTGAACTAATTGTTCTATTCTAGGTTTTACATTACTAACATTGAATATTTCTTTTGGGCCTAATTGAAATGTTGGTAGATAATTGATTAAATTATATGATGCTGGACTATAAGAAGCTAAAGAAATCGATATCAAAAAAGAATTAATCAGTCAGTTAGCTACAACATAGAACCATGCATATATATATGCATCGGTACAAGTTGCCATACCTCATTAACACAAAAACATGAACACTGGAATCATAGAAGTAGTTAATTCAATGGTGGTAATATATAAAAGGATGATTGCCTATAAGGATATAGTACAGGAAGAAAGAATTACTTGGTAGAAAGAAAGATATGAAGCGATTTTAATCTCATAGTTTAAGGGAAGACAAATAATGTATAGATCGACGCCATTGTGATCGATTCTGAGTCATGTCACTCCGAGTCTTCAACCATTGGTTACGATAGTCACGCAGACCCCAACCAAGTAGTCTGCATCTACCAGCATGGCTCAAACTAGAAGTTAGTGACTTCAAGGATGGATGCCAAATTTAGACTTGAATACTAAGCCTTTCATTTGAAATGAAAACGTTTCATCTACTGAGTTCAGATAGTTACTAGCTCGTTTAATGCGTATGAATTTTATTCATGTTCCGCTTATATTGGTCATTCTGTGATCGATAAGCAGTTTTCATTAACGGTGTCAAACCGCTAGGCGTGAAGCTATCACGAATTCAACTAATCTGCAAACGAGAACAATACTTGATGACGAAAGACCAGTAAGCTAGCTAGTGATGCGTCGCAGTCCCGCGAACTAGAGGTGGAAGTTCAAGCCAGAAGCGACCGATCCCAACAAACACAACACAAAACGTATATATACCGTGCAAAAACCGTCCTTGGGGAGAGTTACCAAATAGCATACAAAAAGACGCAATGGACCAATAGCATTTAAAATATGTCCCAGTGGGATATACGACATGAAGGTGACGAGAGCGCCTTTGCCGCGAAAACAAAGAAATTCAAATTTTCTAATTAAATTACAAAATTAGGTCCTATCCCAAGTGAGTTTTGGGGATCTAACGTCTCAAAGACAAACATCATTACCCTATGAATGTGCATTACTCTTTAGTGAACAATCAAATATATCATAGCAACATATTGAGTAATTAATCAATCATAATTAACATTTATAACGAAGAATATGATAGAGATGCTTATCTACAGTGAATATCAATCTAGTTGACTTTACATTTTACAAACCACAATTAGAATGAAACAAAGATCATTGTTGATCGCTAGACAGATCTAATAGGATGGGTGAAAGAAAGGAATACTGACATCCGAATATGTTTAGGGAAATGAATTCGACACTGACCGTAAACAATTGTCGTATAATGTATACTGACGGTTTAAGATAAGAAGATATAGTCGCCATTTAACATAATTATACAATATACAAATAACCACTAACAGTATATTAGGTTGGTTATTTTAGAGTTGATTTAGATAACTTACATAGTCTACTGAATGTACTCAGACGTCTTTGATGTTTCTCATCAGCCAATGTCGATAGAAATTTCCGTGTGATTCGTTTAGCAGCCAGAATACCCAATAGTGACAATGGTGGTCGACTAGTGTTTGTCAAAGATGTCAGAGAGGATGCTGCTGATGATGATGATTGAATGTTTTGACTGATCTTCCTACTAGTGATAACATTTGTTGGATGATCAACTTCTCGAAAAGTCAATATTTTATTTGTTTCGACTGCTGATGTTGGACCATTGAGAGAAGTGTTGAAACTGGATAATGGTGAACGATTGGGACAACTTGCTGGAGTTTGTGGTTGAGATTCTGCAGTGACTGTGTGAATAAGAAGAAAGTAAATTCAATCAACATTTGATAATATTGAACAGTTTTAATGTGCTTCTACTACTACTACTTCTACTACTGATTTCGATATGAATAGTGTGAATGAATCGTGTAAATGTGAACAGAATTGGTTCAGTTTGATTTGGTGAGGAATATATTTCGTTTAATGAAACGAATCGTTTGACCGAATGGATTTCCGATCACAACGACATTCATCCGTTTCATTTGGTTCTATTCGTTTGCAATTCGACTTGTATGAATCATTGTCATGTGAATATACGATTCACATCAGTCTGACAGATCGTTGACAAATTGACACAAGCATGTGATTTACTTCCATTATGATATTTAATTCTGTCATTTATCAATATTCCATCAACATACAATCCCAATTCGACATGGTGAAATGTTTAGAAGTGAATTACAGTCAAACATTCAAGATTCTTCATCTGTAGCTGACCAACACTGTCTCTCTCTCTCACACACACACACACAATTCACACTAGATTCAACACAATTTAATTTGGAACAATCGATGAATGAATGAATGAATCTGCACACAATTACATCATCGTTGAATTTCATGTTTCACATAGTGTTACGATTACTGTAACCAATTTTGTTGAAACTACCCTTGAATCAGATGATTCATTGTGTTGTATCTGGTTATTGTATGAAATCACTTCCATCAAGTTGATTAATAGAAAATTTCATCTCTAATTGAAATCGTTAAAAGATGATAGATTGTAAGAAGATCAATCGATGCCGACAAGATGAAAGGGATGTATGTTGTTCTGTTCAGATTGTTCCAAACTATTTGATATCACTTAATATGATGTGTGTATTGTAACATGCACAGGTTTTGTCAAATCACTTTATTCTCTCTTTCATATCGACATGTAGTTGTAGTGATGCATCAGTTTACACACAGTGACATGTACACAATTTTGAACGTATAGTTTACCAGTGATGTTTCTTCATGAGAATGATGGAAGTGAATATTGTGACAGGGGAATATAAACACCTCGAAAATGATATCACATCTCCTCATTTGTGATGACATGGGAAGTAGTCAGATAACTTTTTGGAATACTATGACACTAGTAATTATTCATGATTCGTCATTATAAACTTCTCTGTTCACTGATTATCAGTATATGTGTTGTGATTATGATAAACCTTGTTCTATATCTAGTGAATTGAATTATTATCAACAAGGGGTTATGGAGATTGAATCCAACGAGCCAGATCATAGATACGCACTGTTGAAGAGTCCCTCAATAGGACGAAACGTCCTTCCAGCACTTTCAGGTTTTCAATGGTGGTCTAACATCAATCTGCATATGATCTTAATGAAAAACTGTGTTATATTTTTTAGGATCATTTCTTAAGATCACCAATATATTATACATTATGATTCCATTAGAACATGAATAAACATGTATATTATTTCAGCTTATATTGATATATATAATCTAGTGTCTCCTTCAAATAATTCTGTTCTACATTTGATCGATTGGAACATGAATTTTCAGTCTTTACAATTAAACATTTTCTTTATTGATTCATATCACATCATCAATATAACCTTATATTACAATCTGAGTGCAATTTTAGTGAATATTACAGTAATTTAATGGTTAAATTCATGAGTCAATTGAAGTTAGATCAGTCTAGAGGTTAAGCGATGGCGCAAGAGGCTTGGTCCGAATCTCACGAGGTGGAATCTTAAATACAGCCTGAGACGAAACGGTCATCCAATAATTTCAGCGTTAAGATGGTGGTTGGAGATAGTCAACAGGAAACCCTGAACATATTTTTTGTGTTACTTGTAATCTTGAGTGAACTAATACTCCCTGATGAATTCAATCCCGTGTCAACCAGCATCACAGTCAGAGATGTTATCACTAGGCTATCTGGCCTGTGATCGACCTCCTATAGGACTGAGATGTAGTCACAATTAATGGGTCGCTGGGTGGTGACTAATGTTATGTGTGTCAAGTTCTTCTTATTACGAATCGAATGCTATCAACCATCATCTTATCTCAACACAGTGCACTCAGTGCCGAGACTAGTGGCCACATTGCAACTCGATCCACACTAAGAAGGACTTCAGACATATGACATTGATCACTATCCAGTGATTAATCAATTGTGACTTTCAGGATTTTCCATAATAGTCTAACTTCAATTGATTGACGATTTCAACTATTAAACAATAACTTACTTGAATGTTTTATCAATGATAATCTTTTAACACCTTTAGCTTTTGATAATATATCTAATCTCGAGTTTCTTTCTTGATTCATTACATCATTTGTATTTGTATCTTTTATAGTGGATTCTTCATTGACTGTTTCTAATTCATTTGATTTTGAATTTAGTTTCGATGGTGATAGATTCATTTTGTAACTATCTTATTCTATGGAAAGAAATAATAATAAATCAATATTTTTATGCCATTAGTTAAATAGGTGGAGGGGGATTTGTAAAGATTATAGAATGTTTATAGTTTAGATTACTAGTTTAAATTAACGATTAAAGTTTAATCATTAGATGGTGATTGTAGGTAGTCGACAGAAAACCCTTGGATCCGAGTTTCGTGCTACTTGGCACTTGTCAGCAAGGTGTACCTGTAATCTTGACGCAACTAAGTCGATAGCATTCGATCTGCAATAAAAAGGACTTGATACACATAACATTGATCACCACCCAGTGTTCAATTAATTGTGATTACATCTCAGTCATACAGGAAGTCGATCACAGCCCAGATAGCCTAGTGATAACGTCTCTGACTGCGAAGTTGGATGATACGGGATTGAATCCATTAGGGAGTATTAGTTCCCTCAAAATTGCAGGTACACTTTGCTGACGGATGCGAAGTAGCACAAAACCTGAGTCCAGGGTTTTCAGTTGATTACCTCCAACCACCATCTAATCTCAATATAGTGCACGCAATGTCGAGTCACGTAGACTAGTGGCCATATTGTAACTTGGTCAATAGCATTCGATCCACACTAAGAAGCACTTGACACATATGACATTGATCACCACCTAGTGATCAATCAATTGTGAAAGTTGAATAATATCAGATTTGTGATAATTATTGATTGATTGTAATGAATAATGAGTTATGTAATATTGGATCTTTACTTAGTAATTATGGATGTACACTATCATTAGTTTGTGAATTGAACTATTTCAGTTAAAAGTGAAATACAACTCTTACTTAGTGATTGATTGTTGGAATTCCACAGTAAGTTTAAATTAATCATGAAGGTTAATAGTTCTCATAAGATGATTTTAAAGGTGTTATTTACTCTTAAATGGATAGTATAATTATGAGACTTTCATTATCCTTGTAGATCATAATATTATTAGGATATATTTTAGTAAATCAGTCAGTCAGTCAGCTAGAACATAGGACCAGGTACATATATGCACCGATCCAAGTTGATGTACTTCATTAGCACAGCAAGATGAACAACGGATTCATAGAAGTAGTTAATTCAATGATGGTAATATATAAGAGAAAGATTGCATTTAGAGATATAGTACAAGAAGAAAGAATTGGTTCGTAGAAAGAAAGATATGAAGCGATTTTAATCTCATAGTTTAAGGCAAAACAGAGAGTGTATACACATACACCATTGTGATCGATTCTGTACCATGTCATCCAGAGTCTCCAACCATTGGTTGCGAGAGTCACACCCACCCAAACCAAGTAGTCTTCATCTACCAACATGCCTTACACTAGAAGTTAGTGACTTCAAGCACTGATGTCACGTTTTGGTTTGGCCGTCCCTTACTTTCTTCCAACCATCCCTAACACTAGTCAGCATTCCGAGTCATGGTAATCGGAGTTCAGGCATAAGTAACACGTGACCAAACCATCTCAGTTGATGAATATTTACAACCTCATCAACTGACTTACCATCATTACTTAATACTCTACGTCTAACCTCACTATTATATACTTGGTGATCCCAGCAGATGCGAGTAATATTTTCGAGGCATCTGTGGTCAAATACTAGTAGCTTACGAGTATTTTCTACTCCTAATGGCCATATTTCGCTGCCGTAAATTAAAACAGAACATACTGCCGCGCAGTATACTCATCCTTTTATTGATAGACGGATATCTCGCCTTCGCCATAGGTGACGTAAGTTGGCAAAAGCCAAACGAGCTTTTCGAATCCGTGCTGAGATTTCTTCAGACACCAACCCATTAGGGCTGATCAAATTTCCAAGATAGGTGAAGTTGTCAACGCGTTCGGTTACTTCACTCCCTATCCTTAGTTCATGTATCGACGCAGACCAGTCCTGAAACAACAACTTACATTTAAAGGGAGAGAAGCGCATCTCAAACCTTCTGGTATTGTTTCTGAATGCTACCAAAAGACTTTGCATTATATCAACGTCTTCATCAAACAGGACTTTATCATTTTCAGTAAGTCATGAATTATTAGAATTGCTTTATAACTGACTGATAACTTGTTTAGTTTATAATTACATTGTTTGTACATTTATTTTAAATGTCCTATTCTTTTGAATAATCTATAACCTTGTAGTTCTCTATCTAATCTTCTAAACGATTTGGTTGGTTTCCATATGTCCATTGATTGCTGGGCCACTTGAATCCCAGGCTTCTAGAAATTTTCTGAATTTTCTTTAATTTTTCTCACCCTACTGCTTCAATTCATTAGCCTTACTGCTGACGTCCAATGGTGTCGTAGAGTTTAACAGCTGATGTTCATGTAAAATTATCTAAATCACAGAGCACAACTCCTGCAAAATCAATTGAGACTCTCGTAAAAAGCACTATATTTTGTAACTTAGAAGATGAAGACAGTCAACTGATTGCTACTTGGCACCCATCAGGAAAGTGTACCAACAACCTTAGCGTAACCAATATCTCTAAGTGAATATGGTCCCACGCTGTCAAACACCAAAGCTCGAGACGCTACCACTGAGCTATCCGAACAGCTGTTGATCAATTGTTCGACCAAGATGTATTAATGCTGATCGATTACTGAATAATGATAAATGTCGTATTTGTCAATTATTTCTTAATGATGATCAAATTCTATCAATCAAATTGCATTGCGATCACATACATTGTGCTGAGATGTTAGATGGTCGTTGAACGTAGTCAAAAGACTAGTGGCCAACTTTCAAATTAATCAATAAGATTCGATCCTCTCTAAGAAGTACCAGATAGACATGACGTGTATCACTATTCTACGATCAATCAATTGTAAAATCCCTTTTACTTTTTATCCTAACTAACTTAATATGAAAATAATGTTGAACCAATTGATTTCAACGATCAGAATAATTAGAATGTAAAAGATTCACATTATCTGATACTTGATTGAAATTGCACGACAAACTCGTCCTAGCACGGGACACCGTAGCAGTGCTCATCCATGATCCCACACATGGGACTCAGACCCAAGAGAATGCTTAACCGGCATTCAATAGTGTTAATGTCTAACCTCAACCAATCTATGATATTGCGCCATCGTCCACCATTGTCTTCAGTGGGTAACCGCCTCACAACAGACATGGTTGAACTTCACTGTTAACGGTTTCTTACTAAAATCCAATCACTAGTGAGTACATAATAAGGGGTTTTTGGAGATTGTAATAACTTTAATACTTGTAATCATGAGTCAGTAAAATCTATACCCATTGAAAACCTGGAAGTACTGTACTGCCGTTTGGTCCCAGTGCACATCCATGATCCCACACACAGTAACTTAACCCAGAACTTTCAGTTTGGTGCTCGAACACTTAACCTCTAAACCACTGAGCCGGCATCCGACAATGTTAATGTCTAACTTTAATCGATCCATGATGTTGCACAAACATTCATTCATTGTCTGAGATAGATACTTATATGTACCTGACACAGATTGAACTCCATTGGTCATGACTTCTCACTAGAACTCTAGAAAATCTGTTTTGACGTTAATCACCAGGTACTTAAAGGGAGAGGTAGGTATAACGATGAAATCTAGAAAAAAGCCTCTTTGTACAGTTTACCATTTATCTAATAAATAGAGAATATACTACTTAATCAAATTGTAGTGCATCTTAAAACATAACGGCTTAGATGGTTTAGATGGCTTAGATGATCATCACCCAGTGATCAATCAATTGTGATTACATAATGCCTTAAAAACAACAAAAACTACTTACGTAATTAATCAATAAGGATAATTTGTTGGATAAACATTGATTACATGAATGATGTATGAGTATTCAAAATATCATTTTTATAAGATTTTACATGTTGTAACCATAACAACAATCTCTAATATATCATGTAGTCAAGGTTACAGTTTAGTGTGGTTTTTTTAATGTGAAATTGAATTGCATAAATTTATAGGTAGATTTCAATGTGGAACAAAAAATCAAACACCAATGGGAGATACAATCAAAACAAAGAAGTAAACAATGATAGGTTTAAGGTCAAAAAGAACCAATCAACATCAAGGTGTATAGGACAAACTGTGAAACACCTATGGAGAAATTCGAATACATCACTTCTATCTGAAGGTTGTGCTAGTGATGATGATGTTGTTCAGAAAATCGATCAAAGTTATACGACCAAACCATCCAGCTCAAAGAACAAATGTCCATCAAGATTTCAATGTGTTTACACTATGGGTTCATCTCATAAATTTGGCTATAATTCGTAAGAAATGTTTAGGGTTTACAAGTCAATTCTTCATTGTGATATATGAAATTAAAACAAACCCCCCTTATACCATGAATTGATACGGTGATTGATGACTTTGTTTCTTTGGTGTCCAGTCAATTAGTCGACTGTTATTATTTATTTATTTGAACACATAAATATTGGTACTAGGAGGCACCAAGTAGATATGCGTTACATGGATCATTCGATTTGTGTGTAGGTTGGGATACTACCCATGTGCCCAAACCGAAACAGGTGGATTTTTTAGTGAGCCGAACCCGGAGCCTTTGACCTTAAGGTCTGAGTCACAAAGCAGTGTAGTAACGTGAGGAAATGAAGTTCCATGATAGCCGGTGATCAATAATCCAGTAATGCGTCATTTGTACCACCTGGATACTGGAACCCATGTGCATTATTAATCTGGAATCAGAGTTTTCCAACTCCTTTAAGTGAACCCTCCGGGTCAACGAACCCGGTCAAGGCGCCATTGTGTTACGGTAGATGAGTGGATATAGCGATAGTGTTTAAAGCAAACGGTACTGGATTAGAGTCCCAGAGTGAACATAAACTCTGGGACGCAAGTACATCCATCTGAAGAGTCCTAAATAGGACGAAACGCGGTCCCTAGATTCCACTCCTAACCACAATCCATCTTCGCTTATAATGTTTGTAACTTAAAGATATATCGAGGTAGTCTGCACAAGATGCACATATATCAACAAGAGACTGATTAATCGCAGTCTTAAACAACAATGAGAAGATAAAAGAAAACAATACCAAGTTTGAGAAACAAAACGTATTAATTTGTAATCTAAACATGCAACAAATAACTCATCTCTTATGGTAGATGTTCATTTTAAGTAGATTATAATTAAGTCATAAGGATTTTCACAAAACTTTGGGTAATATCTCACAGTAGAATTCAAATTGCATGTCTCATCTTATATGTAATTGATCAACTGAATATGCTCAGTGCTATTCTTCTTGAATGTACAAAGTATTATACTTTAGTATAAAATATTACGTTAAGCCCATAAGAATTGTTCTAAGTTCCAGACAATTACATTTTGACTTTGTTAATTATTCACTTAATAACCTTAACTCTTTCTATATGAGCATGTATATCAATACCCTATTCATCACATGTCTATAGCTTATTATTGTGTATCTATAAATAGTAAGTTGCCTATTTCCAAATTGAGTTAATACGTTTACCTTCTACGATCAGCCTCTTGGTTTCTGTTTAGAATCAACGACTATATTAAAGAATACCTATCCAAAATTCATTCTTGTATTTAGCTTATTTTGTTCTTTAATGTGAACTAAGTTGATTATAATATATGAGTGTTAGCAGTATGTACATTATGTTGACATCATCATTAAAGTCAAGTTCGACGAGTCATTTGCTATTTACTTTTACAAAGTGAATGAGTTTTATTACGTCTGTGTTTAAATCTTTTCTATTAAGGCCCAAAAACGAAGAAGAGGACGATCATAGAACACATGACGCCAAGAAATCGTGACAGACATTAAAAGAATGAATAATAATTGGATAGAACTGGAAAGGAAGGCTTAAGACAGAGTGAGTTGGAGAATGGTGATCGATGGCCTATACTTCATTTGGGGGTAACATATGCAAGTAAATAAGAAGGTAAGTCAAATCTTCTCATTTTTAATCCTAAGGACAAGTCGATAACAAGTTAAACATTTCAGACGAAACACAGTAGATTCGAGTCCTTGAATGAAAATCAACAAGTATCTAAGCAAATCTAAACCGAAAAATTTCATAAAGAATAAGAAACGCGATCTAGATTCTACTACAAAATACTATTCAAATAGCACTTCAAGAAGACGTAATCATTGTTTAGACGAAACGAATCATGAATCAAAGTCTGATTGGACTATTCATAAATCAACTGATTACGCAATATTCTATATTTCTAGAAGAGTTTAACTGCTATCCATAAACTCATAAATAAGCTTTTGCACTGTATATCAAGGAATCTTGAACTATTCTGGATAATATATTCTATCTACTCTTCATTATTCAAATCCAACTGTAAAACTGATTTGAAAGAGGAGAATACAATATATGGGTGACTTTGAACGAGTCTCAGGTGACCTTGGAAAAAATTAACTAATATATATGATACAAAATCAAAGAATTAAATTGGATACACTTCTTGTACATGGTTCAAACGTTTGTCAAGGTTAGACAGTGGTTCAGAGATTCTAAAATCGTAATACATGCAGTAGAGGAAATCATCCATATGGCTACAGAATAGTCGGCCTCTAGAGTCATGATAGAGTGTCAAAAACTCTCTCAGGCTCGACCACATAGCTTCACTATTGTTTATGTGCACTCCGGTTGTTGAGTACACAAAATGACACTTGTGGATAAAGACACGATGCATGTAATCAATTCTATGTAGTCACCTGTATGCTCTCCAATCATTCGTATATATTGTAGTACCTGTCTGCAGTCAGTGTTACTGGTGCTTTTATTATTAAGTTCGCAAACATTTTCATAATTTGCCTTAGTCTCAATCTAGATCGAAGGGAAAAATTCTTATTCTAGCAGACTTCATCGTCTAACACACATTACATCGAAAGACAACATCATCACGTTAGTTTCCACATGGTTCACAAGTCATTTGATTATCACAATCACAAATAATGGAACGTCTTAATAATCCGATTGATTGTTGTCGCTAAATGATCACATTTTATTTCTTCTAAAATCCACTATGAACCGATTGTACATGAACATCAAGTCTTGAAATTGGCGCCATGACATTGAACTTCGTCAAAACCCTTCTAATTGACTCATTCATAAATTTCTAATCTCAACTTGATCTTAAATCATTTTTGAGGAGTTTCCTTTGAAAAAAAAAAAGAGAACTAACAGAAGAAGAAAACTGTCTAATTTATCATACTTTATTATTATAAATTACAATGTAGAATCTTTCATTTTCTTCTTTTCAATTACTCATACAAACTAACAATCAGTGTCACTCTCACCTAGCAATCAACCAATCATTAGAAAATATAGTGAATGTTTTGTAATTTTTTTTCAATTCTCTATCACAAATAGTTTATCATTTTTAGCATGATTTATGTTGGTATTTAGTTCCGTTGTATTAAAACTGTTTTTTTTTTCCAAATGTATCGAATCTTAATGAGACAAATCACTTATCATATGATTTATAATTATACACTACACATTGCACAATTTCATTGATTTACATTATGCACAAAAACACACAACATCACCATTATCATCATTATCATTATTAGATTCATTTATATGATTATAATTGTGATTGTGCTTAGTGAATTCATTATTTGAGATAGTTTTATTTAAATTGGATCCTACTTATTTTTTCATTCTTTTAGCAAACAAATTAATATAGGAATTATCTAATGTTTCCTTTTGTTGTCATTATTTTTGCTCTATTCGAAGGGATAAATGGAGGTGGTAGTAAGTTATATTGTATCATGTAATTGTTCATGAATATTATTACATGTAAAATCATAATTGAAATATATTTTAACAATGTAAATTGAATGTAATGTATGTGTAAGCAATTGATACACTGGAAGAGTAGTTGTAGTTGAGATCATGAGTCGATTAAAACTAGACTACCATGGAAAACCTGGAAGCAGTGGACGGCTGTTTTATCCTAGTATGAAACTCCTCAGCAGTGCGCATCCATGATCCGGCCTCGCGTGTGAACACTTAACCTCTTGATCACTGAGCTGAATGCTATGCAATGATTTTACTATCTAACTTTAACTTATCCACGAAGTTGAGCAACACATCCACTATTGTCCTCTGATACTAATTGAAATGGGATTTGTAAAGCCCTGAATACAAACTAATGGTGCACATGGGCTCCATGATTCCGAGGGATCGATTGGAGTATGAACTAGTTATTGGTGACCGGCTACTATGGGAGTGCATCTCCTGACGTTGCTCCACTGACTCGTGGATTAGACCTTTACATCAAAGGCTCAGTGTGTGGCCTCCTAATAAAAATACCCGTCTCATTTTGGGCACCCGGTTAGTATCTCAGCCGTCATACAAATCAAATGAGATTTGTGTGGCACATATGTATTTGATGCTTCCTTGTACCAATATTAATGTGTTTAAAAAAATAAAATAAATATAAAGGGTAGTTGTAGAGATTATTGACCTTAGATTGATATTATGAATGTATCCATGCTAGATCAACATTGAAAACCTGAATGCATTGTACAGTCGTTTCATTCTAGTATTATGGGACTCCTCTAACAGTACACGTCCACGGTTCAGCACACATGATCTGAACCCATGACCTTCGGTCTCGTACGTGAACTCTTAATCTCTAGACTACTGAGCCAATATTGTTTAATCTGATACCAGTGAGCTATGAACTAAAATGTTTAGTTGATTATCTATCCTTAACTTTCAAGAAGAACATGTCAGATGACTGTGTCAAGTTGCATCACGTTGATATTGCTTGTATGAAAAGTAACCATTATGATATTTTGTGAAATATTAGTGGCGAGACTGTAATTTATAGACGGACAAATCAGCTTTAAGAAAACAGGTCTTGGATATTGACGCGAAATTCATTCACCCATTTGACCAAATAGCGTCTTAGCATTTTAGCCGATGTCAATTTATGATGAAAACTATAAATCTAATAACTAACACTAACCATCAATTACGAATCATAATCCTTATTCTTCAAACTGATTTATAACCGTCAGTTTGTCCCTAGTAAATAGGTATACACTCTCGAAGTCACTTAAGCGTCGATCAAATGTCGTCCATAAATTATAGTCTTACCATACTCACCTGTTACACTGCTTGGTGTATGGCCTATCCGTATATTATTTTGTTTTGGAATTTTGATACTAGCAGTCTTCAAAGATTGGATCATTGAGTTTTCTTTCAAAGTTACCATCGTTTGTCTTTGTACACACCATCTAAACGACTACCGACGGATTGGAAAATGCTGACATGTCAAAATTATCTTGTCATGTAATAAGTAGTAAAAAGTTGAGACCACGATTCAATTTAACCTAGACCATCATTGAAAGCCTGGAAGCACTAAACGGACGTTGCGTCCAATTGTGGGACTTTTTAGTAGTGCGCTAGCACGATCCCGCGAAAGAATGATAGGTCCTGAGTTCAAATCCCAAGAGGTGGGGTCGTGTATATGCACTGTTGAGGAGTCCCATACTGGAAAAAACGGCCTTCCAGTGCTTCTAGGTTTTCTTTGGTAGTATAGCTTCAATTGACTCATGAAATTACTATAATATCTACAAAACTCCCATCTGAGTCTACCATAACTACGAATTACACACGATGGTTCCATGTAATTCTTGATCGACTAAATCAATTAGAAGTAGATAGAGAATGATGAAATATCACTAACTGGTTGAGATTTGTAACGTAGACCTATGAAGTCTGATTCAATGTTGAAATTCTAACTTTGACCAATGAAATATAAAGATAAGATTTATTAAGAGCACAAATTGATACTACTGAAATTCCTTTTCGTCGACTGTAAGATCATTCATCAAGTAGAATGTTTTTTCTGTACAGTAATTTGAAGTGAAGTTTTCTTGACTCTTATTTTACACCATACATGATACGGACATTAATATTTACTTTAAACTTATTTTTATTTACAGAAGCACCAAGTAAGTCAACTTTCATGTGTCTGTATATCATCACTATCCGATTTTGGATAGTGCTTAAATATTAATATGTATCTCCTAAGCAATACACATTCACAGCCTTTTAGTGGAGCCCTTACCTTTGACATCAATTAGACCGCACGACGTTGTCGATGGGCTCACCACTTTAGTGGTACGGGATCTCACTCCAGTGAGATCGATTCTGATTACTATTGAGATATACATATCATCAATCCTCGTATATTATCATCGACTTAACTCGCATTAGTCAATAACGGAATTAAATAAGTCAAATAAAAGAATGGATTATTGAATTCGTATATTTCATGCACTCATTGATTTCAACAAGCAGTCGAGGAATGAAACAAAGAGAAGAAAGTGAAGCGAAACGATGCAGAGTGGAGAGTGCATGTGAGCCAACTCCATTTAACCGAGCGTTACTCAATATCTACGGTCAAACAAAAATAAGTTACTGACATGTGATGAGTGAGATAAGAAGAGCACACGTATAATCGCTCGTGTAAAAACAGTCAAGTTTGATAAGCACATAATTAACAAGGTCAAAATTTGACTCAAATGGAATGAATAGATTGTCCTATCCAGAAGCTAGAATAAGGTAATATGGGCCTAACATATCAATTGATTCTACAACCTTAAGATATCATGACGAAAAAATGACCATTGAAACCATTGGATTAGACACTAACAGAAAACATTTCCAAAATACAATCAATTCACTACTTTCCGCGACATTTATGCTGAATGTCTACGTATACTTCAAATTCATCTAAGTGATTTCTAAATAAAACATCAAGAACTTATCTTAAATTCGGTCATAAACGAGGTGAATGTTGTAGTTTAGATGATAGTGCTTCACGAAGATGATATTAATCTGTAAGTAGCACCTATCATCAACTGGAGTTAAAATCTCACTCATTCAAGTAAAATCGTTATCGAGAAGGTACGTAGAATCATTTTTTCACAACAGAATTGGTAGTATCATATTGTTGGGTTGAAGAATGCTGGTCGGAGACCTATGCTGCATCAGGAGTAACAGGCGTAAGTAAGTAATTATTAAGTTATTATTAAGGAATCATTATACAAGCATATTGAAACGAATTCCTGAATAAAGATACAAACTCATAGACATGTTTACGAGTGATACACAAACCAACAAAGACAATTATCATTACAGTTTTAACAAAATTACCAATTGCATAACTAATCATCATGTGATGTGTACTACTTATATACATAAATATAAGTAGTATGCAGTAGAAAACGAAAGTGGAATGTCCACTAAACGAAAATTAAATTGATGAGAAATAGAAAGAAAACACAAATCAATCGGATAAACAACAGTATTGAATGTATCATAAATTATGTAAAAGACAATTGAGAGAAGATGGATATATGATGTATTTGATCTATGATTTTCAGCCTTAACAAACTCACAGTGGGGTTGTCCCCACAACAATTCATCTGTGATCAATATATACAGTGAATCATAATTACGTAATAAGTGGAGATAATGACAGTACAGATTTCGATGAGACAATAATTCATGGACGAGTCAATCAGAAGCGTTTGAAGGATTTCAAGGTCCCAGCGCCAAATTCAGTACTCAATGATAATGTACGATCGTTTAACAGGGGATTTTATATAAAACATGATAATTAAGCAGCTGTAACAACCGAAACGACGAGACTATCATTTGTGAACGAACCAATTAGGTATAAGATAATAGATCTCGGATTTTGGCGCGAATGTCTATCTTCAATTTAGCTAAATAGGGTTTTGGCATTATAGTTGATGTCAGTTCATGATGAAAACCCCATTTATAATTCCTAACTAAGGCAAATTATGACAATTATTGCGAAGTGGATAATATAAGCACCAGTAACACTGGTTGCAGCCAGGTACTACAATATATACGGATGTTTGGAGAGAATACAGGCTCCTACATAGGCTTGGTTATGCGCATCATGTCGTTATCCACATGTAGAATTTTGTGCACTTAACAACTGAGGTGCACATAAACAATATTGAATCTACGTGGTCGAGACTGAGAGAGTATTTGATACTTTATCATGACTCCCGATGCCGACCATTCTGTAGCCATATGGATGATCTTCTCTACTGCAGGCATTACGATTTTAGAATCTCTGAATCTCTGTTTAACCTTGATAAGTTTTTGAACCACGTTAAAGAAGTGTATCCACTTTATTTCCTTGGTTTTGTAGAACATATTTTTACTCTATACTGACTGTTTGCTGATTGGCTAATCTTTCTCAAGGTCGTCCATAAATAAGAGTCTCGCCGTTAAACTCTTCTAGAAATATGGAATATTACGTAAACACTTGATTAATTAATAGTCCAATCAGAGTTTGATACATAATAGATCAATTCTCTAGATAGCGTTGTACAGTATATAGATTGAGTAAAGCGTTTTACAGCCTTTTTCTGGCTTCGTAAGATCTTATCGAGGAAGTGATGTATGATCTCGTTGCTATGGTAACAAAGCTTGTAGCCAAGACTCTTCATTTTCTTTGTTTGTTCTAATTTGGAATAAATTAATCTTCAATAATATATAGATACCTATGATGCCTACTGTAGGTATAATCTAATAGTAGTATGGGTACCAATAGAACTTCCAAACAGTTTCTGATATCAGTCTATATACTTTGTATGACTATGTTCTAAAGCTAAGTCTTAAAACACTAATCAATATGTCTAATCGTAATTGTTATATTGTAGTGCTCATTAGTATACCTAGAGGTAAGTAACTAATCATTCATATTACACCCTACATTAACATCCATCTATGTGTATCTTTATATGTTACAATTGTGCTTACAATAACTATGTTTTAAACTCTTACTATATGAAAACAAATGCAATAAATTGTTGAAATGTATGTTGAATCATTTATGTAACTAGGAAGCATCATCAATGCAGAAAGAGGATCTAATGCAGAAATAAAGGTAACGGTTGGCAAAGGAAGAGTCGCATTCCTACAACTGAAGAATATATGAAATTCAATATGAACGTCAACATTCTTCTACTACTGATGTTTAGAACTGTAATTAATCGGTATCGAGTTTGAGTCCCAGCGTGAACATCAACTTAAGAATGTAAGTCCATCTAGCTGACGAGTCCCATATAGGACGAAACGCATCTCACACTTCTATCAGATGATAGAATTTTAAATTCTCATTGAAAATCTATAATAGATAAATTCAACACAATGGAATGAAAACAGACTGTTCGTATATTCTAATAATTAATGCGAAAGCAATAGTATTTTATATGAATTTTTGATCATTACTTCAATGGATAAAAAGCATGTGATCCTAAATCTTCTAAATGAAGAAGAAGACAGTTCTACTGTACGGAGCTGAAACTCAGAGAACCACAACAACCACAATTAAGAAGGTACAAGTATTTATAAATAGCTGTCTACGCAAGATACTCAACATCCATTGACCGGATACCATCAGCAAGAGCCTTCTCTGAGGGAACAAACCAGCTTCTAGCTGAAGAGGAAATTAGGAAAAGACGATGGAAATGGATAGGTCATATATTACGGAAACCACCAAACTGCATCATGAGACAAACCCTAACTTGGAATCCTGAAGGAAGGCGGAAAAGAGGTGGGCCAAAGAACACATTACGTCGGATAATAGAAGCAGTTATGAAAAGGATGAATAGGAACTGGAAGGAGCTGGAAAGGATTGCCCAGGACAGGGTTGGATGGAGAATGCTGGTGAGCAGCCTATGCTCCTTCATGAGGTGTAACAGACGTAAGTAAGTAAGTAAAATCCTGAATCTGTATTAGTTTAAGTCATCAACTATTACAAAGAAGCCAATGACTGAAATTCCATACTGAATACAATCGAGTAATATTGTAATGAACGACAACACACAAGTAGAGACAATCGAATGTATTTGAACACACAAAATGTCAAATAATTGTCTCAGACTTGATTGTTCCTTCGTCTCCATAGCAATCACTCTTTGTTCTCGTTCTTTTTTCATCGACCTTATTAACTTTTTGCCCCCCCCAAGTATTTCACTTTCGATTGATGATACATACTACTACTACTTATATCTGTTGACATCAGTAGTACACACCAGAATATGTTCATAATTATACCGGGAATGAAATATCTGTACATTTTATTTTATAATTAGTCATTATTTTAAATATTAGTGAAATGAATAATTTTCTAATTGTTCATCAAATGATCTATATTAGATCTTTTACCAAAAGATACTGTAACAGAGTAAGTTTCAATGAATCGTTTTCATCATCTTTTCTACTTATGGTTAGCGTGTTTTTAACGGGTTAATTTTCTACAGGATGGCGTTGCTAAGCTCATGCTCAACTCTTCTCATTTATCGGGGTTTGGGACTTGTAGTAGCTCTCAGGGGGGCTCCATGCAGTTAAATAACTGTAACATGATAAAACATAGATTATCAGTGTGTTGAAATATTTTACTTATTAAAGAATATATATACTACTTATTAAGATGAGATAGTGGCTGGAGGTAGTCGTCAGGAAATCCAGAACCAAAGTTGTGTGTTACTTGGCACTCGTTAGCAAAGGATACCTGTAATCTTGAGGGAACTAATACTCATTGACGGGTTTGATCTCGTGTCACGCAGCTTCACATTCAGAGACATTACCACTATTCAATTTGGGTTGTGATTGACGTCCTGTAAGACTAAGATGTATTTACAATTGATTGATCAGTTGTCAGTGATCAATGTCATGTGTTTCAGGTCTTTCTGAATGCAGATAGAATTCTAACCACCAATTTGCAATCCTAGGTCTCGGGTTTCCTATCGACTACCTCAACATTGTGCAGGCAATGTTGAATCACGTAGACTAGTAGCTACATTACAAATTGGCCGACGGGATACAATCTGCACTAAGAAGAACCTGACAAACATGATATTGATCATCATTCAGTGATCAATTAATTGTAACCACTTCTTACATTATAGTATAGTCTATTTTTATAACTGGTGTAAGATGAACAGGGCTTCTTTTAAAGTAGTTGAGTTCATGAGTCAATTAAAGCTGGATTACCATGGAAAACCTGGAAGTACTGGACGGCTGTTTCGCTTATAGCAACATCGCGTTCTCCATTTAGCTACTGAGTCTTGATAGTCACTTACTTGTGCAATGGGGTGAAGTTTAAATTCACTTGATGTTGTTTTACTTGTATCTTCTCATTGTTATTTCGGACTGCAATTAGTCAGTCTGTTATTAGCATATGTACATCCTATGAGGATTGCCTCGATCTAGTGTTGTCATAAGTTTTTAAGCAAAGATGGATAATAATAGTTAGCTATGGGATCCAGTTCGTCCTATTTTGGACTCGTCGGCTGGATGCACCTGCATCTCAGACTTCATGTTCATTCCGGAACCCGAACACAGTACCGAAACGCATTTCCTGGATTCCACTGCTAGTCGCTATCCATCTTTGCTTAATTTACAAGTATTATTTATATCATACTAACAGTGGAAAAGTGATATATGATGAAGGAAACTAGTTATTCGTGATTATTCAAAAATTTATGACCAATACATTTGATCAGTGAGTACATTGATTTCGGTACCTCAGTTGGCTAGGATAGTAAACACCGCTATAGAAGACTATCTCCAACTATATGAAACTGTTATGCAATGCTTGTCTGGAAGATTAAATTATGCATATATCTGAACAAATATATCTTAAACAGTTCATAATTAAAGGAGGATTGTCGGTCAATCAGCTATAACGTAGGACCAGGCACATTAATGCATCGATCCAAGTTTCCATACTTCATCGGATTCAATTATGGTAATGTATAAAAGAAAGATTGCATATAAGGATATAGTACAGGAAGGAAGAATAAGTTGATAGAAAGCAAGAGATAAAGCAATTTTAATCTTACAGATCACCATGGAAAATCTGAAAATACTAGACGGCTGTTTCGTCCTAGTATAGGTCTCTTCATCAGTGATCATCCATGATCTCACCTATACGATTCGAATTCAACTATTAACTTACTACAATCTTCACCAAATCCTCTTTTTGATAACAAAAGCATTATGAGTTTTTTTCTTTAAAGGATTATGTTTTTGTTTATTTTACATTTTAACATTATAACTTCAGGGTGGAACCAACTTGGGAGTATGTTATGCATTGTTAAGAAAAATGTTACTTATGACTTTATTTATACCTTTTTCTATCATATTTTTTATGTATATACGATACTTATAAATGGGTTCCAAATATGAAAACTACTATTTGTATGTATTGTAATGACTTTATCTTTTAGATACAATGTTATTAGTCGTTGATATACTTCCATGCCAACACTTAATAACATTGGGTGATATGGATAAGAATTGATCACAATGGCGTAGGTATATATATATTTAATACCATTGAATTAACTACTTCTATGAATTCGTGGTTCATCTTGTTGTGCTCATGTGGTATGATAACTTGGACCGATACATATATGTGTCTGATCCTACATTGTAGCTAACTGACTGACACCGATTATCACGATGTGCAATGTTGACTAGTGTTGGAGACTGTTGGAAGAAAGTTAGGAGCGGCCAAATCCAAAATGTAGCATCAATCCTTGAAGTCACTAACTTCTAGTCTGAGCCATGTTGGGAGATACAGACTACTTGGTTGGGATCCGTGTAACTATTGTAACCACATGTTGGAGACTATTGGTGACATGGCTCAGAATCGATCACAATGGCATCGATGTATACTCTCAATGTCTTCCGTTAAACTATGAGATTAAAATTGCTTTATATTTTGCTTCCTATCAACTAATTCTTTCTTTGTGTACTATATCCTTATATGCAATCATTCAATAAACGATCATATAACCATCATTGAATGAACTACTTCTATGAATCCGATGTTCATCTTGATGTACTAATGAAGTATGGCAACTTGGACCGATGCATATACATGTGCCTGGTCCTACATCGTCGTTGATTGGACTGTTTGGTCTTATAATGAATGTTATTAAGTATATTCTAATGTTTCTCAATTCTATAATTCAACATTTCTGAGATTATCTAAAATCTGCATTATACAGAATTATAACAACCACAATGTGAGTTTATTTTATAAGTTTTTTTGGAAAAGGAACTGCAATAATTAAAAATACGATATAAGATGGTGGTTGGAGGTAGTTAACAGTGAACGCAATGTCGATTGATCTAGACTATTGGTCATGTGATGTGTGCTACTTATGTCAACATAAGTAGTACATAACACTGGCATCAGAATCTAAAGAAGATCGAAGAGGAAAAAATGGGAAATGAAAGCAACTGATATGAAGATGAAAGAACAATGAAATCTGAGACGATGGACTGATATTTACAAAAGGAAACAATCAAGTTTAAGACAATGGATTGACATTTTGCAAATGAAGTATTTACTGTATAGTTCATGGATTTTAATAAGACAATCTGTAATTCGATGGTCCTTACTTGTGTTCTCGTTTAACACATTCCAACTTTGATCGATAGGATTCAATCTGAACTAAGAAGGACCTGACGTACATAACATTGATCATCACCTAGTGATCAATCAATTTATTCATTAGTAATAAACATTTATTATTTATTTTATTTATTATTATTTATTATTAGAAGCTTTATTCAACATTATATTTTTGGTACAACATAGAATTCTCAGCATAAAGTATTTCAACAAGTTTCCTTTTCTTATACCTTGATCTATTGTGACGATAAATTTTGAATGATAACCGGTTAGATGTTAGGAGTTCGGTAATCCACATTTGATTAATGTTCGTTCGTTTCAATGCATATTGCAAGCCACCATGATGTCGATGATTGTACCTTTTTGTATCACGTATAGCGAAAGGCTGTAAACTTTTCATAAACGCGCCTGAATAGATTGTGTGCACAATGGACATAATGATGAACTAAAACAAGCAACTAAAACAGATAATTTGATGAAATATGTAGATCGGAGGAACAGGTAGCCCAGATATTCAAGCAGGCCGCCAATTGTACAAGAACCATGAATGGGCTTCTCTTATGTTGTTGCTTTAAATTGGTTAACTGCTTCAATCTATTGTGCAGATTGAAATTTAGAATTGGATACATTAGTAATTACCGTAAACACTTCAGTATTGTATTACACGAATTAACAATATGTTCAAAAGTCAAGATCCTCTCTTTTATAATGAGTTATTAGATCATGTTTGATATGATCATAAATTATTGGATGGATTCATTTTCAATGATCCATTTTACTGTATAAAGGATGTTATGACGTACATTGTTCGAAGTCTGATGCTGAGATATGGTATGCTAAGCCCTAAATCTCTCAACTGACTATTTGAGCGAGAACAAAAGAGTAGGTGAGAAAGTGTATTGGACTACCGAATGAAATGTATAAATACACATCCATATATATATACCATTCTAACTTAAGGAAATAGATCCATTGATCCAATGAACAGAACTTGATCTTTAAGCGAATTAAGATGGCCATAGATTGACCTATTCATTAAGGCGACTTCTGTTTCATTCATCCTATTAGAAGAGATTTAAATGTCTAGATGTTAAGCGTTTGCATACGAGATCTACGTTTGTGAGTTCGATTACTGTACTGAGGGTTATTGATTGTGTAGCTAATGAATCTTAGACTAGAACTAAACGACCATCTAGGGCTTCCCAATTTAGATAAGACCAACTTACTTATTCATAGATAACTGTTATTATTATTATTATTATGAGTGTACGTTTATTGTATATGAATGAATATTCATTTAGCCTACCTTATCCAATATTAGACCAATATATCTCTTTATGGTTTGTGAAATTATCCAATTGTATAATTTGCAATGTTTATTGCCAGAGAACCTACGATGTGAGCGCTTAACAAATGTTCTAAATTGTTATAACTTTCAAACACATTATTATTATTATTATTATTATTATTATTATTATTATTATTAGTAGTAGTAGTAGTAGTAGTAGTAGGAGGAGGAGGAGGAGGAGGAGGAGGGGGAGGAGGGGGAGGAGGAGGAGGAATGGGAGTAGGAGTAGCAGTAGGAGTATCAAATGTGTATTGAAATGTTTGAATGATAGGTAGGTGATATACTCTACGATTTATCAAAATTTACATTCACATGTTGTATGATCAATTATTAATTTGATACGTCTGTAGTATATGCTACTGATATCGACAGTTATTAGTAGTATGTAACATCAGTGGTAATTGGAAAATCTGGCAGCAGTAAACTAAGTAGATCAGGGAAATAGAAAGAAATTTCAGACTAAAAGAATCATAAAGAATGTAGAGAACAAATGATGGAATTTCACAAATGAAGTATTCAGTATGTATTTCTCATATGTTACCAAGAGATGCAGTAATTTTGTACCAACTTAAGATGGTTTCCGCTTGTGTATTCTTGTTCTTGTTTCATATTGAGACAAATTGGTCGTTACATCGCCCTATTAGGGGAAAAATACTTGCTTACTTACTTACGTCTCTTACCCTTAATGAAGCACAGGCCGCCGACCAGCATTTCCTAAACCACTCTATCCTCGGCCTTCCTTTCTAGTTCTACCCAATTGTTGCTCATTCTTCTCATATCTGTCTACATTTCTTGATATAATATGTTCTTTGGTCTTCCTCTTCTCCTTTGGCCTTGAAGATTTCAGATGAGAGCTTGCCTTGTGACGGTGAAGAAAATACGGTAACTGCTAAATTAACCTCAGAGTATATCCAAGAACTAGACTGATACCACATTAATAATAAGTATCGATCATGTTTATGATTATAGTTTTTGGTAGTTTATTAATAGTTGAATATGTATAGTTTGTATTATAATTCCGTTAATGTAAAGTTATAACTCTTGAGATATTCATTACGTAAATGTTTTGTTTTAATAGTGAAGAAAGTGATGAATCATCGTAAGTTTCATGCAATTGGTTCCCTTTATGAATTTAAATAGAGCAAGAACAAACATTGATGCAGAATAGTATGAATTCATATTATTTCTAGGTTTCTTGTCAGCTGCTTACAAACCAAAATTGTGATAGAATTTGTGTTACATGGAGATAATGTGAAAACAATTGACATAAATGAGTGTAAATAACTGGATTACAATAATAACTATATATATATATATACGCTAGAAACAGGTCAGAGGTCAAAAGAGGGGGGTTAATCCAGGGTGGGTGGTGTAATAATTTAGTGAAGTTCATAAATTGTGTGATAATTGTAGAGATTAATGGAATTCAATAATGATAAGGTAGATTACGTAATAATAATTTAATAGAATTTGGAAAGTTAAGATAATTTAAGAGGATCAGGTGGTGGAAATGTGTGAATAAAATTTTGGTTTAAGAATTATGTAATAGGGGGGTGGGAGTATAAAATATCTTAGAATAAGTTAATGAATAAAATAACCAAATAACCAAAACAAAACAGAAACAAAAAGATTACCAGGGTAGTGATAAGTTTATTAAAGTCTCTTTTTGGATGCATAAGTCCGGTTTCAGTTTCTTAATTGCAATGGCTTCAGCAAAGCGGAGAGTGGTAGTAGTTCTTTGTCTATTGATAATTTTAAACGCGTGCCGAATATCGACGGTATGCCCGGTGTCAAGTAGATGCCGAGCTATTGCACTGTTAAAAGCTTTGGTCCCTCGCAGCGTAAGTTTAATGGAACTTTCTATTTACCTCTCAATTGCGAACGATTATTTTCAATGAAACCAATTGATTACATCATAGTGTATTTCATTATTCGTTATTATAATCATCATCACCAATGTAGAACTAGGCACATATATGTTCATCGGTCCAATTTGACACACCTCATTAGCACAGCAAGACGAACACCGGATTCATAGAAGTAGTTCATTCAATGGTGGTAATTTATAAAAGAAAGATTGTATATAAGGATATGATACAGGAAGAAAGAATTAGTTCGTATAACGAAAGATATGAAGCGATTTTAATCTCATAGTTTAATGGAAGACAGAGAGTGTATACACCTACACCATTGTGATCGATTCTGAGTCATATCACTCACAGTCTCCAAGCATTGGTTACGAGAGTCACGTGAACCTCAACCAAGTAGTCTGCATTTATCAACATGGCTCACACTACAAGTTAGTGACTTCATGGACTGATGTGACATTTTGGTTCGGTCATGCTAGTTTAACAATAGACAAATCTTATTTTATCTACATTGATCATGTTGCCCTAGAAACATTCAACGTTAACCAACTTCATTGCTGTAAATTAGCTTTGGGAGAATGAAAACACTTTCGAATGATCAATTTTTTGGTTTAAAATAACACATCCACCTTCAAATTTAAGTTCACAGAGTGTATATTGAACCATAATATTTTACATTTACTAAGATATCAGATTGACAATCCGTTGAGATTATTATCATTTGACTGTATGAATACATTACATGTGTATTTCTTTTATTCACAGGACAATATATGAAATTCTACTGTGAGTAATTTTCATGATCTTAAACATTGCTTTTATCGATCATTTATGTCTTTGTTGTTTAAACATACATTTACGATCAACTATTCAAATGTCATTGAATGGACAGTTTGAAATCAACTGGACCATTCGGACTTCTTAGATGACCTAGCTCATCTGTAACCATATACATCAACAAATGCAGGTCAAGACAAACAGTGTAGCAGAAGCCTCTAACTCAGTTCACACAAAGAGAGCACCAACTTAATCACACCTGATGGACAAGCTCTGAAAGATGTGGAAAGTTTCACTTATCTGAGTATCATCATCTATGAATGTGGAAGATCTGATGCAAACGTAAAGACAACGATAAGCAAGGCAATGACAACATAACTACAAATGAAAGACATATGGAATTCAAAACAACTGTCAGCCATTATCGTAGTTACAATCTTCTACTGTATGGAGCTGAAACTTTGAGAACTACCACAACAATCATTAAAACGGTAAAAGTTATTCATAAACAATTGTCTACATAATATACTCAATATCTGTTGACCGGATACCATCAGCAACAACCTATTATGAGAGAGGAGAAATCAGCTTCCAAATAAAAAGGAAATTAGGAAAACGAGATAGAAGTGGATGGGACACTGTTATAACTTGTGACCGCCGATAAGAGACCAATGACTCATCGATCGGACGAAGGACGCGTAAAACACGTGCAAGCAGCCTAGAGTCCTGATTAGTCCTACTTCCCGTCTAGCCCAGCCAGTTAAGTCCAGAACACCAGTCCGAGCCTTTGTGATATGAATCATTATATTTCAAACATTCTGAGTTTATGTACCAATCAAAAAGACCATATCGTACCAATAAAATATGAAACAACATTTTTACAAGAATTAGCTAGATGTGGCTGTGAATGAGGGAGGTAGTAATTGTTAGACGGGGCATAATTCAAGAATGGTAACACGTATATTAATAGTTTATGGGTGAAAATAAAGCTTATAATAAGAAGAATATGAATATGCATAGTTTACTTACTTAATAATCATACAATAGAAATATACGTTTAGTATTGGCCCATCAATAGATCCCAAAGTTACCATTCATTATTCTTATCGGGATATAACAGACACACATGGAGGAAGTCGTCAAACTACTTTATCAGACAATTCCTAACTTGGAATCCTGAAGGGAAACCTAGGAGAGGGGCGAAGAACACATTACGTTGGGAATCGGAACCAAACATAAACGGGATGAATGAAAACTAGAAACAACTGAAGAGCATTGCCCAGGACATGACTAAATGGAGAAGGCTAGTGAGTAACCTATGCTCCTCCACGAGAGGTAACATGCGTAGGTAAATCAGCATTCACATGAGAATAAACTAATAAACTGCAAATTATGAAATATTTTTCAAATTCAAGGATTTATATATACAATTTTGATCGAAAATTCATAGAAACATTGAGTAAAGTTAATTGACAGAATCATTGATTCTTACATTGTATATTGTTGATATGCTCCATTATTTCAATGAATAATAAGTTTCACTAGGCCTACACACATCTTCTTTGAAGTTGTTTCAGGAATCAAGTCAAAAGTTTGACTAACATCAAATGAATCTCAACAAAGTTTCACATTTCGTAAAGTCTAATAATTAGTTGAAATATGACAATAACACAGTTAGATGCTTACCAGTTCAGTGATCTAGAAATTAAGCGTCCGCGCGCTAGACCGACAGACCCTAGGTTAGAATCTTGTGAGACGGGATCGTGGATGTGCACTTTCCGAAGAGTCCAATACTAGGACGAAACAGCTATCCATTGCTTTCATGTTTTCCATGATGGTTTAGCTTCACAATTGACTTCAATAATTGTCTCATTCAATTTTACATTTTGTTTGTTCTTTTTTTAAAAAGAAATTTACTTCACAAATTATGGTAGGTTTTCTTTCTTTCAATAAAATAAAGTCATCGACCGCTGTCACACCATTTACTTACTTATAATTTACATATACAAGATGTTTGTTCCTTTTGTTATGGTTGTTGTTGGAAGGAACATCAGAATTTGACTGGAAATATCATTCCCAGTTAGGTTTTTCTTCATAGAATGATGTATGTTATATCTCGGGTAAGTAGTAGGAAGGTTAGACAGATACAATGTATTAGGGGATAATGTTAGTAAGTCATTTGATGAGGTTGTGAATTTTCATCGACTGAGATGTTTGGGCCACGTGTTACGTGATAAGTCTTGCTAATTGAACGCTATATTCGGTTCCTAAGCTATTCTCGTAACACTCAAGTTAGAACTACACAGCGACCTGAACACGAAACAAAAAGCTCAAAATATGCGAGAAGCACTTCACTCCAAAGGTTCGTTTTTGCACAGAAAATATAGGGTTTTTATAATATTTTGGATGTCCTTGGGATTTCCGAAAACTCTGGAATGCTAGTAAACATAGTAGCAGTATAGTAATCAGCCAGTTACAAACTCTACACGTGACTTTTCAATTTCATAATGTTTCTGGCTAAACTTCAAGTGAAGGCTAATTGAATAAAGTGATTCTTAGTGTTTCCTGAACCTCTCTTGTCTTTTGCAAGAAGTTTTCTGGATCACCAAAACATTACATATGCATGAACACTGATTATCACGACATGCAATGCTGACTAGTGTTGAGGAGGGTTGGATGTAAGTTAGGGGCGACCAAAACAAAACGTGGTATCAATGCTTGAAGTCACCAGCTTGTTGTGTGAACAATAGATGCAGACTATTTGGTTGATGTCCGCATGATAATCTTAACTAATAGTTGGAGAATGTGGGTTACATATGTCCGAATAGATCACAGTGGTGTAGGTGAATATCTCAATTCAGTAACTCAACGTATAAGCATGTCATAGTTTGATGCACATATTGCTAGATCTATTCCCTAGTGTAGATAATAAGCAATGAAATCCAGGTGTGTGTTCACTTGATGAGCCTCAAACTGAATAATAAATTCCACTGCTAGTTACAATTCAATCTTAAGAGTGTTTATGCACATTCATTATTAAGTGAGAGTAGTTCATTCATTCAGATTATGACCCTACATCTGACTCCAGTTTGTTTGTATGAATGATTGTTATTGAAATATACATTCTGATTATTCGCGTATAATCCGCTTTAGTGTATAACGGAATTAGATAAGTCGAATAGGAGAATGGATTTTTGAATACAATCATGACAGAAGGATCCGCCGGATGGATCAATGAGGAAAGTTGACATGAGGACAAAGTATCAATAAGATAATACGATTTCAGTATATCCATGTCGTGCTGCACAGGCTTTGTTGAATGTATCGGATTAGAGATTGGTCTGTCTTCGTTGAGTTTGTTCATCGAAAATCTAGAGTCTAGAAGTTTGAGATGGTAGAGAAGATTTGTAGCTCAGTTGAATGATTTTGATGGAGTTTTGTTCTCTGAGTTTGATGGTTCGGTCATGGAGCTTTCATCGTTCTTCTGAACGACATCATCAGCACAAACGTCGAACACTTCATTTATATCTGAAGTTTGTGCTGCTGATGATGTCATTCAGAAGAACGATGAAAGCTCCACGACCAAACCATCCAGCTCAGAGAACAAAACTCTATCAAAAGTCTAGAAGTTTACTTATCGACACAGCTTATTGCGTTACGTCGCTTGGCGGTGGCAACTCAATGATAGAATTCTTGCCTGCCACGCCGACAGTTCGGGTTCCCCCCCCCCTCAAAAGACCATAAATTACAATTTAATCGTCAAGTAAGTTGATTCAGAATATCAACATTTTTTTGATCAGTACATTTTCTCAAATAAGGCAATCTGTATCTTTTTCCATTGTAGGGCACTGGTGAAATATTTACTTGACTTTATGTAAAGAAGATGAAACCATGAAATGAAATACTTCGAGACTGCTTATTATTAACGTAGTATCTTTATAATGATGTAAAGAATGTCAAACAAACACTACTTAATTCTGATTCAAATTGATTTTAACTTGATAAACTTGTGCTTATTGTAATTAGTTGAATAGATTTCTTAATACTTATTATTATATTTCATTGTGAATATGACAATGTTGACTGATTGGGTTACTGATGAAGTTCTGACTTGATTAGTACGAAACATAATATAGATAATAGTTGAATATGATATTATTCTATAATCAAAGTAAATATCACAAAAAGAGTAGAGGCCTTTTAATAAAACCACAATACTTACTTGCTTATTGCTGTTACCCATTGGAGCATGGACCACCAGATAGTTTTATCCAACTCAATCTGTCCTAGGCATTTCTTTCTAGTTCTATCCCATTATTGTTCATTCTTCTCATGTCTGTTTCTATTTCTCAGCATAATGTGTTCTTTGGTCTTCCTCTTCTCCTTTGACCTTGAGGACTCCAAGTGAGGGCTTGTCTTGTGACGCAGTTGGGTGCTTTCCTCAATGTGTGTCATATTCACTTCCAGTGCTTCTTACTGCACGCAATGTCGAATCACCTTGACTGATGGCCACATTGCAACTTGGTTGATAGCATTCGATTTGCACCCAACACATATGACACTGATCACTACCCAGTGATCAATCAATTGTGATTGAATGTTTTTCTATCGATACTTGAACATTTCAATAATTCCCGATATTCCTCATTGATTTGCCAAACTTCAAATGTTAACACTTATTACATAATCTTATATACTCTCATCGATTTTTACGGTTAATTTATACCTTCTGGGTGGCTAATGCTCCCTTACGAGGAGTAGCAGGCTTAAGTAAGTAGGTAAGTAAGTAGCACCTACCAACTTAATACTTGTTTCATTTCAACGAATTATGAATAATACAATATACTAAACGGTATTAAATCTATTCGAACCTGTTGGACAAGCTCCCGAGAACTACAACGGAGCCCTCAGTGACTCTAAAAAAGTCCAAAAGTTTTCATCTTTGGAATATCAGTGTGGCATGCTATGATTGGACAGTACCATAACTTGCCTCTTTGTGCATTGGCTAAATGATAATGTTGATATAAAAAAACGTTGATATCTATAAATACCTATGATTTTCTGTATATTTTGATTTTTACCCATCAAGTACATTCTCCAGTCTTCCTCTATCTTCTGATTTGCAGCTATGGGGGTTTCATTAGTTCTAGTTTTGTAATTGTATTAACGTATTCTGAATGAATCAAATAATGAACTGAACAGAATCATTGAATTGAATGAATCAGTGAAGATAAGAAGAAACAAATAGAAGACACAATGACATTTAATTCACTAAATTGTATTACATCATATATTACTATTGAATTTATTTGTTCAATTATTCATAATAAACTAAAAGAAGGTTACTATTCAACTTATTACGCAATCAAATGATCATTGTCCCGTAGCCATGAATTTTGTTCTAATACATGAGAAAAGATAAACAATGAAATTAGTGGTAATATGTAACAGAATAAATGTGAATAGAATAAACTGTTATGTCCAACACTTTAACCGGGTTGGTGGACACGGAGAGTCCACCTAGAGGAGTTGGAAAACCCTGATTCTAAACCAATGGTGCACATGGGCTCTACGATCCTGATGGAACAAATGGAGTATGAACCAATTATTGTTCACTGGTTACCATGGAACTTAATCTCCTGACGTTGCTACACTATCTTGTGAGTTAGACCTTTATATCAAAGGCTCCGAATGGTAACTTTAGGACCTATTGATGGACCAACACTAAACGTATATTTCTATTGTATAATTATTAGGTAACTAAAGTATGCATATTCACATTCCTCATATCATAAGCTTTATTTTGATCCATGAACTATTATTATACGTTTTACCATTCTTGATTGGTATACAAACTCAGAATGTTTGAAATATAATGATTCATATCTCAGAGGCTCGAATTGGTGCTCTGGGCTTAACTGGCTGAGCTAGGCGGAAAGTAGGACTAATCGGGACTCCAGACTGCTCCTAAGTGTTTTACGCGTCCTTAGTCCGATCTATGTGTCATTGCTCTCTAATCGGCGGTCACAAGTTATAACATAAACATAGTCTAAAATCAACTGCTTCTAAAGCCAATTAAACACTCTGTTCAATTCAATATACATTGAGAACTTATTATATAACGTATTGTATAGTTCTCAAGGTTTGAAGGTAGTGATTATTGATTGTCAAATAGAAAATCTGCTCGATTTCTATGTTGTAATATTTGGCACTTACTAGAAACATGTACCTGTAGCTTTGAGAGAATCGACATTCCTCAATGTATTCGTTCTGGTATCACTAACTTCATTTTTTAAAGATGTGACCGTTGAACTATCCAAGACACGATGACATCGAATTGAATCCATCAAGAAGTATCGATTCTCACAAAATTACAGGTACACATTATGGATAAGTATTAAATAACATGGAACTTAGGTTTGAAGTATTTTGGCGACTACATCCAACCTCTATAATATCTTATGTATATTCCTGATATTTACAGATTTCTAAGCTGCACTAAGTTATATTACTGGAACGTTTAATGAGAAAAACTAATCAGTCTAACAATATTCATTAAATTATCGTGTACATAAATTCAATAACTCACAGAAATGTCTTCCAAGTACTACATTTCAAATATATGAAATAAAATTTAGAAGCATAATATATTACTCAAATCCAAACTACTCATTAAATAATTCTTTAAAAATATAATTGATTGTCTAATTACCAGCACCTTTCAGTTATCCCCTATTTTTAAATAACTTTCAAAGAAGTATTCTGTTGTGTACTACTGATTTCGACAGATATAAGTAGTATGTATGGTCAATCAAAAGTAAGATATCTCGTGGAAAGTTTCACTTATCTTGATAGCACCATTAATGAACATGCAAGATCTGATACAGACGTAATAGTGAGTATTATCAAAGGAAGGACCGCATTCATACAATAGAAGAACATATGCAAATCAAAACAATTGTCAAGCAACAACAAAGTGAGAATCTTCAACATAGTCCTACTGTACGGAGCTGGAGCTTGGGGAACTACTGTAATCATCACTATCATCATCATTATCAAAACAGTACATGTATTTGTAAACAATTGTCAACACAAGATTTCCAATATCTGTTGATCGGATACCATCATCAACAACCTATTGTAAGAGTAAACAAATCAATTTCCAGTTGAAGAGGAAATTAGGAAAAGATATTGAAGGTGAATAGGATATACATTGTGAAAATCGTCAGACTTAATTACAAAGCAAGCACTATTTTGAAATCATGAATAGAAATGGAAATGAAGAAGATCAAAGAACACATTTCGTCAAGAATTGGAAGTAAACATGAGAAGGATGAATAGTAACTGAAAACAACTGGAAAGTATTTCCCAAGTCAGATTTAGATGGAAGATGCTGTTAAGACGGTCTATACTTTTCTACGAGGATTAACAGGAGTAATCAAATAAGTAAGTTTCTTCTTAATTTGAACTAATCGACAAGGCGAGACTCTATTTTATGGACGAGCCAATCAGAGGTGTTTTAGAGATTTCAAGGTTACGGCGCCAACTTAAGTGCTTAATGCTAACATACGATCGGTTCACAGGGAATTTTGTACAAACCGTGATCATTGAGCGGCTATAAAAAATAAAACGGCGGGACAATAATTTGTGGATGAATCAATCAGGTATAAGATAATAAATCTCGGGTTTTAACGTGAAAGCCTTTTAACCGTTTGGCTAAATAATTTTCTGGTATTAGAGCTGATGTCAGTTCGTGATGAAAACCCCATATATAATTGCTAATTAAGGGAAATTACGACAATTATTGCGAAGTGGATAATAAAAGCACCAGTAACACTGGCTGCAGCCAGGTACTACATTATATACGGATGTTTGTAGAGTGTACAAACTCTTACATAGGCTTGATTATGTGCGTCATGTCGTTATCCACAAGTAGCATTTTGTGCACTTAACAACTGGAGTGCACATAAACAATATTGAAGCTATGTGGTCTAGGCTGAAATAGTTTTTGAGACTTTATCATGGCTCCGGAGGCCGACTATTCTGTAACCATATGAATCATCTACTCTACTGCATGCATTATGATTTTAGAATCTCTTTCTAACGTTGACAAGTTGTTGAACCACGTATAAGAAGTATGTACACTTTACTTCTTTGATTTTGTATAATATATTTTTACTCTATATTGACTGTTTGCTGACTGGTTAATATTTCTCAAGGTCGCTTAAGATTCGTTCGAAGGTTGTCCTCAAATTAGAGTCTGGCGAACAACAAGATATGATTGTATTAAATCATTAGATCAACTACAATAAATTTGTTGGGATATTCAGAAAAATATCCCAAAAATGTTCCTGCTAAGTCTAATATTATCTTTGAACGTGAAATGGTGTCATTTTCCTATTGGTTAATAGTTATTTCACGTGTCATCTTCCTATTGGTCAATATTTATTTCACGTGTCATTTTCTTATTGGTCAATATTTATGGTGGTCCTAACTGTATAAATATGCATCTGTCTGTAAAGTATCGTTCCTATTCCTATTCTTATTCTTCTCTTGAACCCATAAATAAATTTCATCTACGGTTCGTGTTCTGGTATATTGGAGATTGAAAAATAATATTGGGGTCCTACTGGGTTATGTGAAGTTGGTCAGTCGGTGGAAAATTAGAATAGCCACCCCGCGGTTCACAATAGAATTTCATTGAATTTTCAATGGTGGTTAAACTTTAAATCGATTTTATTAACTTGAACTAAGATTTTCATAAATGTTAATAAAAGAATTCAAACATGGACATTGATAATTTACCATAATTTACTGAATATTGTACTGTTTAATGAAAAAGTGACGGTTAATTTATTATTATTTTTTTGAAATAAATTAAACATAAATATTGTAATGAGAAAAATCAATTTATCTTGATTGACATCATGAATTGATTGATGTTAGACCATCATTGAAAACCTGGAAACACTGGACCTGGTTTGTATTTGTTCCTATTACGGGACTTCTGAGCAGTGCATCTGATTCAAATCGAGGACCTTTGTTATCGAGCGTAAAACCCTTAACCTTTAGGCCACCAAATGCTCTGGTATGGCCGAGAGTGAAGAGAGTCTGCTCTTCCTTTCGAAATGCTCTCAAGTGGCCACATACATCCAACCAGTGCCAGGGAAATCCTACTCACTGTCTTCTCTTGACATTACTGTTGTTTACAAAACTGAGAGGATGAAAACCGAATGTCCGGCGCTTTAATCGGGTTAATGGACATGGAGAGTCCATCTAGGGGAGTTGGCAAACCCTCATTCCAAACCAATGGTGCACACGGGCTCCAAGATCCTAAAGGAAACTTTTGGCGTATGAACCAATTGTTGGTCAACGGCTACCATGGCACTGCATCTCCTGACGTTACTTCACTGCCTTGTGGATTAGACCTTGAGGTCAAAGGCTCGGGGTGTACCCCTCTAAGCAGACCACCTGTTTCGGTTTGGCCACCCGGGCAGTATCACAGCCCTCACACATATCAAGCAAATATTGGGCCAGTATCCAATAGTGTTAATGTCTAACTTAAACTAATCCATGAATTTGCGCAATAATCTTCTTTTGTACTGAAGTAGATACCTGTCTCTACCTGATATGGATTAGCTTTATTGGTCAAAGCCTTTGAATGAACATAGAACATAGGTTAGACATTAAACGTTGATTGCATATCAGTCTTCATAGATCTTGTCTTTTGGTCGAATAGCATAACAAAGTTACAAAATAAGATTTGACAATGAAACTGTTCACACAATACAATACAATAAAGAGTTTACATAGATTCATCTAAAGTAGTTTCAACAATGAAGATAACTATTATAAATGTTTATTGAAATTATTATACACTGGCCTATTTAAAATGAAGATGTTTCATAGGACTTACTCAAACCATGACCAGTAGGTACTTTAATGGTGAAAAAGTACATGTTTAATAGGGTAACTGAGAAAAATATTGTAGTTATAAGCTGGATTATAACTAATATCAGAAACCAGTATACATGTTGTGTCCTCATTGTGACTCGTCAAATGGACATACATTTGCATCCAAATGTTGATGATATCACTGAGATTCTAAAACACTATCTTCACCTTTACACTCCAAAGTATTATCTACTAGGTTAATGGTTATGATGTCCGCGCAATTGAAAGAGTTTGGGTTTTCTTTTGTAGATGATTCCAAACTTGTTAACCTTTGTAGTCATAACTCTTTTAACCAACTGATGATATCTTACATTCAACGAGTTATTGTTACAAGTTCGATTGATTATTTTTAAGTAATACTAAATCAAATAACATTGACGACTGACTTTATTCTGTCCTTAGAATGATCATTCATTTGGATTCCTCTTACTTGAACTCTTTATGCAATTTGTGATGATCATGTTGTTATTTATGTTGACATCATGTAGCCAGTGATGAAAGTTCAGGTTTATTATTACTTCAAAATACGGATTAATTGATTTTTCAATCACATTTAACTAAGTGGAATCCAAGACCCACGTTTCGTTCTATATGGGACTCGTCAGCTAGATTTGCCTGCATCTCAGAGTTGATGTTCATTCCAGCAAACGAACGCCATTGCGTCCTCGGCTTATCTACTAAGTCCTGATAGCCATATACTTGTGCAATGAAGTAAGTTCAAATTCACTTGGTATTGTTTACTTGTATCCTCCCATTGATGTTTAGAACTGGAATTGATCAGTCTCTTGCCAGCATATGTGTTTCCACTGCTATCCACCATCCATTTTCGTAAATAATACTTGTGACTTAAGTCAATATCGATGCAATCTGTACAAGATGTACATATGCCAATAAGAGACTGATCAATTGGAGTTCTAAATAACAATGGGAAGATTCAGGAAAACAATACCAAGTGAAATTAATCTGTATTATATTCATAATTCGCAGTACATTTTCAAATCAATCATAACGTATATTCCAACAGAATCAAGCAGATTTATATTCAGATATCAGCTTACTAATACTGTACAACTTAACTACCTATCTAATGAACTTGTTACCCACTTATTAGAATTTGCATATTAAACATGAAAACAATACAATGTAAAGTATTAATTTTGTGCATTTTACCCGACGCGTGACATTAGACTGAAATATTAAATGATTAAAAGAAGTAAATGAATTGGCAATTCAATTACAAATCAAAATGTAATTATTAACTGAGACAACCATTAAAAACTGGGAATCACTGCTTTGCTCTAGTATGTGACTCCTCAACACCTTGTTCTCGAAAAGGAACCGAATTCAGGACTTTCAGTATTGTACATGAAAGCTAACTTCCACAACACTGAGACGACAATCAATAATGTACAAGTCTAACTTTAGTCAGTTCAAGACATCGCACGACGATTGTCTGCAGTGAATAACTGTCTCATACTCGATGTGCTTGAACTTCACTGCTCACAGTTTATGATACAAAAACTAGGAACATTGAATGACCCAAACAAAAGTCTGTAGTAAGCAAAGATGGATGATGATCAACCATGGAATCCAGAAAGTGCGTTCCGTATTATTTTGTACTTGACAACTGGATGTACCTACATCTCAAAGTTAATGTTCACTCTGGGACTCCAACCCAATATCGTTCACTCCAAACTCCATCACGTTATCCATTTAGATACCAAGTCCTGAGAGCCACTTCCTTATGCAATGGGTTGAAGTTTAAATTCACTTAGTAGTTTGTAAGAATCTTCCCACTGATGTTTAGGACTGCAACTGATCAGTCTCTTATTGGCATATGTGAGTACGGTACTGAGTTCGGGTCCTGGAATGAACATCAACTTTGTGATGCATTTGCATCCTGGATTCCATTTCTAGCCACTATCCATCTTTGCTTAGAATGTTTCCATTCGAATTTTCTAGTATTTATTATCTCTATGATTTGTAATCCTTTTATTATAATCAAACAACGGAAATTTTTATTTCATTTCAGTCTTGATTCCTTTTTATGGGTCGTGGATGTCAATCGCTGACGAGGTTCACAGTAATGAGAATTGAATTTGAGATACATATTCATTTTTCTTTTATTCCAAACATAATATCTACTCACCTAGTAGAATTCCCTGATGTACCTGTATTATTTCAAATGAGAATATAATTATCAATCTTAATGGATTAAAGATAGATGATGTTATGTTAATGTCTTTTATCATAATATGTATTTGATACAAAGACAATATATATGTTGACCAATTAAGCATATTAACATTCCTATAGTTAACGAACATATGGGACTCCTAACAACTGTCTGTCAACCAATATCAAAGTCACAATTTTCAATACGAACGTCAACACAGTTCTACTGTATGGAACTAAAACTTTAAGAAATATCACAATCATCATTAAAACGATATAAGTATTTCTAAACACTTGTCTACAAAAGATACTCAATATCCTTGACCGAACACTATGAGCAACAACCTACTATGGAAGAGGACAAACGAACTTCCAAATGAAGAAAAAATCAGATAAAAGACGATGAAAGTGGATGGGATGTGCATTTTGGAAATCACCATACTGCTTCATGAGACAAGACCTAACTTGAACTCGTTAAGGGAAGCAAAAATGAGAATAGTCGAAGAACACACTGTGTAGGGAATTCGAAGCATACATATAAAGGATGAATAGGAATTGGAAAGTATTGTCTAATACAGGGTTAGATAGAGAATGCTGTTAGGCGGCCTATGCTCCTCCATGAGGGGTTTGAATATAAGTCTAACACATAGTTTCATAATTCATGTAATGACTAATGATCATTCTGATTCTGATGATGATGATAATGAGCAGGAAGAAAAGGAGGATATTAATTAGCGAAAATCAGTCTCTTACCATTTGTTCCGTTAGATTTCGCTAAAATCAAAGGGAAATATGATTACAATAAAATGAATAAGTTTATTAGGAATCAAATGTCTATGCATTAGTTCTATTCACTAAATAACAAATATCATGTATCTTATAAAGTTTAAGAAAAATATACGCTTGTTATTCAATGGTAATGTGATGTATACTACTAATATCGATAGATATAAGTAGTATATATCATTAATCGAAAGTGAAATATCTTAGGGTAGATAATTAAGAAGATCAAAGAGAGAAGAGAATCAAATATAGAAAGTGATTGGTATGAAAACAAAGGAATAATCAAGTTTAACAAATATTACAAGATTCTATAGAAGATCAAGAAGATCACGTCAGTAATGATGATTACAAACGAACAAAGATTAAAAGTTTAAAAAAAACGCAATATCACCAATGAAGACTTTGATATTTATTAATGAAGGAAACACATTACATCATACTCAGATGTACTCGTACATCAGTATGAATGAGATTAGTAGTCATCTTATTTTATCAGATCACTTGAAATTTTCAATGGTTAAAGTCATGAGTCCGTTGAAGCTAGACCACTATAGAAGACCTGGAAGCATTGGATGACCGCTTCGTCCTATTGTGGGCCTCCTCAGCAGAGCGTATCCGCCGCCACTAGACCATTGAGCTGGCCGGCATCTAACAGTGTTAATGTCCAATTTCAACTAATCCACGAAATTGAGCGACACATTCATTTAAAATTTTGTTAGTTCTAGTGAGAAGTTATGACCAGTGGAGTTCAACTATGTTAGACGATTTAGTAGAATGGTTAAATTCAGACTTGTATACTATGAGTTTCTGTCTCATTACTCAAGAGGTTTATTTGTAAGTGAAATCGAAAGTCTTGAATTCAGCTCCTGCTTACAAGATCATAGATGAGCACTACTAATCAGTTCTATGATAAGATGAAATAATCATAAAATGCTTCTTAGGTTTTTCATATAAGTTCATTATCTTGATAAAACATCCAACAGCCGTATAAACACAATCCTGTCTATTTTAAACTATCTCAAACAGACAGATATTACAAGACAAATACGATCTTTATGTCATCAATTCACAGGCAATGTTATTTACTTTTATTCTTAAGTACAAGAAACTGATGAGATGATCATCTATGGATGACCTTCAAGTGACCTTTTAGTAACCTTAAGAATGTCCAACTACTTACTAGGCATGGATGAAGGTTATCAACTAGTATGAGGAATTAAGAATTAAATTTAGGATTTTCATCACAAACTGATATTAGCTAAAATGTTACGATGCTATTTGGCTAAATTCCAAGACTGGTTCTCTTAAATCTGATTAATTTGTTCATAAATTCCAGTCTCATCTATTTTAATCACCATAACATTCATTTCAATTCCCTCCCTACCCCCCCCCGCCGTATAGCAAATTGCAACAAAAAAAACTTGAACTTACAACTACCACCTTCAGTTTCTTTGACAATACCAAATAAAACAACGATCAATAGTATGAATATGGATACAAATTTCATTTGTTGTTTTACCAAAAATAGAACTAATCATTTTGTCATAGACATTTACTTTATATACTTAAATTTTATGATCAATCATATGTACTATGATTAGTTAATTGGCTAATTCCTTTTCAAAAAAAGAGAGAGAAAAAAAGAGAAAGAAAAATGTATCTGAAATGAAGGTTTACTAGTTTACAAAACAGTAACCATGTCAACAGGCAAAAGAAGAAGAAAAAAGGAGAAGAAGAAGAAGAAGAAGAAGAAGAAACATCTTGTCAACAAAATGACTTTGGAAATTGTTTTTCAATCATAAAAAGATTATTCAAAGAAAACAATTTGTTTATCATGTGAATATATATAGTTAATACATTGCAAAATCATACAATCTAATTGTTAATGTTTCATTGTTAATTTGAATAGAAACAAAAAAACAAACAAAACAAAATTAACTCGTGGGGGGTGAGATTGTGGATATGCGCTCTTGAAGAGTCTCACTGATAGGACGAAACAGCTTTCTAGTGATTTCAGGTTTTCTGTTATAATCGTGCGAAGATTACATCACGAGTAACTTCTGAGACATATTAATTGACTCATATTATCTATATATTCTTATGGTATGATTATTCAATAATTAGATTATGTATATTTATATTCCTCTTATTATAAGCTTCATTTTAACTTATAATTTATTATTATACGATTTACGGTTCTTAAGCCTATGTTCACTTTATTAACTACTGTCTCCCACGTTCACAGTCACTTCTTGGCTTTATTGTGTACAAATGTTATTTCCTATTTTATGGTACGTTGCGGTCTGTTTGATTGATATATAAACCCAATATGCGAAATCTGGTATTGTGTTCTGAACTCAAGCCGACGAGCTAGTCATACATAAGACCAATAAAGATGCTAGGCTGCTGTTCATACTGGTCAAACGTCATTGGTTTAGCATAGTGCTAAGGTTGTATAAGTCGTATTTTGATTGATGGATAAATCACATGATAAAAAGCTATAACATTGTCCATGGTGATCTTGCTTCAAATAAGTCATGAATTCAGTTGTTAAGTTACTAAAATACTCCCTCTGAAAAAATCTATATATGTTAATTTCAAGTGTATCATTGTCACTTGTTTGAGTTTATAAATGTTGATAAGAAAACAATTGGCGATGCACGTGTTTTTTTTCTTCGGATTCAGCCAAATTATACACTTAGTGTACATTGTTCAACTTAATACTTTTAAAATCCATACATAATTTATATTGTTTGAATGTTCTCATTGTTACTTAGAACTGTAATTGATCAGTCTCTTATTGGCATATGTACATCCTGTACAGATTGCATCGATATAGTCTTGATTCACAAATATTATATGAAAAAGATCGATAGTGGCTAGCAGTAGAATGAAGGACGCACGTTTCGTCTTAGTTGGGATCCATCAGCCGGATGTAACCGCATTCCGTGGTTGATGTTCACTCCAGGACTCGAACCCAGTAACGTTCACTTCAAACGCCATCGAATCAACCACTTAGTTACTTAGTCCAGATAGTTACTAGCTTGTGTAATGGGTTTCAGTTTTAATTCATCTTTGTATTAGATTGTAGTGTCAGTTGATATGTTAGGCCTATATTACCTTATTCTAGCTTCTGGATAGGACAATCTATTCATTCAATTTGAGTCACATTTTGACCTTGTTAATTATGCGCTTATCAATCTTGACTGTTTTTACACGAGCGATTATACGTGTGCTCTTCTTATCTCACTCATCACATGTCAGTAACTTATTTTTGTTTGACCGTAGATATTGAGTAACGCTCGGTTAAATGGAGTTGGCTCACATGCACTCTCCATTGTGCATCATTTCGCTTCACTTTCTTCTCTTTGCTTCATTCCTTGACTGCCTGTTCAAATCAATGAATGCATGAAATATACACATTCAATAATCCATTCTTTTATTTGACTTATTTAATTCCGTTATTGACTAGTGCGAGTTAAGTCGATGATAATATACGAGAATTTACGATATATATATCTCAATAGTAATCAGAAACGACCTCACTGGAGTGAGATCCCGTACCACTAAATTGGTGAGTCCATCGACAACGTCAAAATAAAGGGGCCTACTAAAGGTTGTTTTGAATCTTCCTATTGTCGTTTAAGAATTCAACTAAAGTCTCTTATTGGTATATGCACATCCTGTTCGGATTACCTCGATATTGATTTCAGTCATAAGCATTATAAGCAAAGATTGATGATAACTAGCATTGGAATCCACGATATGGGTTTCGTCCGATTTGCAACTCGTTAGCTGGATGTATGTGTATCTTAGAGTTGATGTTTACTCCGGGATTCCAACCCAGCATCGTCCACTTTTTTAATGTAATCACAATATTCATTTCTGCTCATAATTATAGATCTTGTCATAAAATAAGATCATTTTTCTAAACAGATTTCAACATTAATGAAACAAGGTATATTCCAAGGAGAAAAACAAACAAACAAAGTTACTTTAATTATAAATTCAGATTAAAATTTGCCATTTACAAGTTCACCATATGAAGAGTAATGAAAATCATACAAAATTAATTGGTTCAATTCAAGTTTCTTTTTTTGGCTTTCACAAAGATACAGCATAGCAACTAATTGATGATGCAAAAGTATTGTAGTCACTTAAATTGCATTACATAGAATAGTAAACATCCTTGTATTTGAAAATTGTAAACTGATAGTATGTCAACAATAGGAAAACTATCTTGAGTTCGGTAGTTAACAAGGTTTCCTAGTATGTCTTATAACTATTTATTTGTATAAGCTAAGATTGATAGTGACTAGCGGTGAAATCCAGGATGCGCGTTCTGTCCTGTTTGGGAATTGTCAGCTGGATGTACTTGCATCTCAGGGTTGATGTTCACTCTGACACATGCACAAGCAGGTGGCTATCAGGACTTATTAGCTAAGTGGATAACACGATGAAGTTTGAAGTGAACACTACTGGGTTCGAGTCCTGAAGTAAACAGCAACTCTGAAATGCAGGTATACCCAGCTGAAGAGTCCCAAATAGAACGAAACGCGCGCCCTCCATTCTACTGTTAGCTACTATCCACCTTTGCATATAATACTTGTAAATTAAGGCTATATCGATGCGATCTGTACAGGAGGTGCATATGCCTATAAGAGACTGATCAATTGTATTCTTAAATAACAATGGTAAGATACAAGTAAAACAACACCAAGTGAATTTATTCATCAGATAATTCATTGTTCTATTAGTTGTTTAAATGTTCCTCATAATATTCAAGACTGCTAATGATCAGCCACCATTCATCTGTTTATAATGCTAACGACTTCAGACAATATCGATGCAATACTCATAGCATTCACATATGTCAATATTAAACCGGTCAGTCGAAGTCCAAAACATCAATGGGAAGATTCAAACAACCTAACTAATGTGCTGGACATTCACTTTTCATCCTCTCAATTTCATAAACAACAGAAATGCCGTGAGAGTATTTGGAGAGGGAGAGCGAACTCTCCTCACCCTCGGTCATACAAGGACATTTAAGGGCGATAGTAACAAAAAAGCAAGAAAGAAATGGTTACGTAATAAACAAAAGCCGATATTAAGTAAGAATAAAAACAACAAAGCAGAATATGATAAATTCATTAATTTTGTGGTTTATTTTCAGCCACTTACAACCTAGAAGTAATTGTACTAATTACATATACCCAATATACATAATTCATTCCATTGGATGCCGACTCAATGGTCTAGTTGGTTAGGCGCTTGGCGCGAGACTGATAGGTCCTGGGTTTGAATCTCGCGAGGTGCGGGATCGTGGACGCGCACTGCTGAGGAGTCCCATACTAGAACGAAACGGCCGTCCACTGCTTCCAGGATTTCTATGGTGGTCTAGCTTCAATCGACTCATGATTTCAATCAATGAAATCTCTAAAATCTCTACAAATCCCTTCTGATAATAAATATTATGATAATAAAGTCAATGGATATGAGAATGGGATTTTGTGGAGATTATAGTGATTTTAATAATTGAATTCATGGGTTAATTAAAGCTAAACAACCATATAAAACCTCGAAGTATTAGACGGCTGTTTCGTCCTAGTACTGAACTCTTCATCACTGCTCATCTATGATCCCGTCCCGCGGGATTCAAACCGATGGCTGAACATTTTAATATCAACTATCATGATAATTATAGGGAGGAGGGGGAATTTTTAAAGCAAAGAAACTTCTGGAAAAGTGAAAATCAATGTCAAAGGTTATGCAGTAATAACTACTAAATTGAATTGATTAAAAGATTAGAATGAGTAATGACAAAAAGACATTCAACAGGAATGGAGAACATGTATTTATGAATGTGAATATCAAACAAAATACTATCTAAGATATACATTACAAAAATGATCGAATGAAATCACAAAACAAGCTCTAACTTGGATCTCTCAAGGTAACAAGGAAAATAAATAAAGCAAAGAACATGTTACCCCCCAGAAACTGGATGCAGACATCAAAATAATCAATAGAACTTGACAGTAATCGGGAAGGAAAGTCAAGGACAGATTAGGTTGACAAATCTTAGTTAGTGGTCTTTGCTTCACGGAATACAACAGGCATAGGTAAACAAGTAATAATTATGTAGTTGATAAACAGAAGAAAGTGCAACTGCTATCCTTTGAATACATAAGTTAGGCTTTCACTTTTCTAGTCGTGTTAACCTTCTCAAAATGTACCAAATACGAAGCTATTTAGGAATTGATTGTTTCGAACGGTTTAAAAACATCACAACAATCTCCAGTATCAACTAGATATCGGCTAATCATGAAGTGATCAAGAACACAGCTGCGGACAACTAATATATGTCAATACAAACTTACAGAATGTCTTGGTAAAATATGAGAATAATACATTGAATACTTTATTTGCAAATGTCCATCATTTGTCATTCATATACAATATGATCTTTTCAAGTCAAAGTTCCTTTCTAATTCCATCATTGTTCTCTTCAAG